AGCACTGCAGACGCCGATGATAGATCTTGATCTATTCGGGCGAGTCACGTACCAGAATCAGCGGCTTCTCCTCCAAGCAGACACCGTGGATTGTCTCGAGCGCGAGCGTGGCCAGATCTATGTCTGGGAACTCCACAAAGGCTTGGCCCTTGAGCCGCCCTTCTTTAAACAACTTGATCGAGAGGAGCCTAGACGACGACGGCGTCACTTGATACTTTCTTGATACATGCGCACCCACCCCATGGAGGCGTCGTCGGGAAAGACAGCACCAAATACGTGGCGAAGGTCCGACTCGTCGACCGACTTGGCGATGTTCTTGACGTACAGCACGCGCGACGGGTCGCCCCGGGCGTAGCCCTTCATGTACTTGAGTTCCGCGAGCGCTAAGATCACATAGTATATCAGCATCGTCACAAGTCGGCGGAGGAGACCGTCGGGGGCGAGCCGGGTTCGATTCAATTCAGCTTCGGAGATGACACCGGGGCGCGCCACAATACGGGGCGCCGGCGCGTCGTCGACAAAAGCCGCGGCGACGCGCAGTGCTTTTTTCTGAGGCTTGGCGCCCCGTGGCCGCTGGCTGGGCACCGCTGGGGGATGGTCAGCGCGCGTACTGACGTCGGCGGGAGGAACCATGTCGGTAGCTTCCGATGACACCTTGTCGTCATCCTCCGTCGTCGTCCTCGTCGTCGTCGTCATCGCTGGCTTGAAAGGCGTCCTCATGTAGGCGTTTACCCCGGGCAGCGAGCCCCTACCGCGAGCTACTATAGCGGCATTCCATCTGGTGAAGAATGCGTACGTCGGTCGAGAAGGGGCCGCGGATGACGTCCTTCTCGAACGGCGGCGGCAAGTGCATCTTGTTCATGAGATGCAGCACTTGCGTGTACAGCTTGGGAAGGGCCATGAGCGCTAGCCAAGGACCTATTGTGATGCGAGACGATGACGCAGTAGGACAGACCGTTGGCGACATTGGCCACGATCTCGGGCGTCGCCTTGGGGTACTTGTACGCGAGCAGCGGCGACGGCGGGTAATGCAGCCTATCGCGTATGCTTGTCGCCATACGTCTACCGTGATGCATGGTACCCCAGATGCGGAGCTATGGGCGTCGGTTGCCGCGCCGTCGATGGGGTCGATGGCGTCGGCTCGGGAGGCAGCGGAGGCAAGATCGGCGTGGGTGGTGGTGCGTCGAGGTCGCCACCGTGGACCCGCGCCTGGAGCTGGTGGTCAGCGAGGCGCATCTTGCTGAGTCGTGCCACAGCGGCGTTGCCAATGCTATCGTTCGGGAAGGCGGCCAAAGCTGCTTTCTTCTACGCAGGCGACCGAGCCATGGAGCTTCGACCGTCGAGAATGCTTCGCGCTGTACCTTGCCGCGACTCGTTAGCACGCGGATGTCGGTGGCGCCGACATGCCGCAGCAGCTCTTCGATCGCCGACGTCGCCAGCGCCGCCGGGAGGTTGCGCACCTCGACGACGAAGCCATCGAGTGGCATCTTACCGGTATGTGGTGCCGACGCCGTATCCGGATCCGCAGTGGCATACACTGGTTAAGCCAGTGTTTTTCTAAAGTGGCATATGCCACCTAACACGTGCCGCATTGCTGGTGACATGCCGAATGTAAGCATCACTTTCGCTTTTTGTGTCCAAAGCATGTGGAGTAGCGCCGTGTCGGGCGCGATCGCCGCCTGCTCGGGCATGCTCGGCAAGTTCTCCTCGGACGACTCGACGTCCATGCTGCATGGGGTCCAGGAAACCTGCATGAGCATGGCGGTCGAGGTGCCATGGCTCGACTGCGCCTACGTGAGCGTCGGGGTCCGGGTCCTCTTCTTCGTCGCGATGCTGCTCTCGAACGCGGTCATGCTCAACTTCTTCGTGCAAGGCCTCCACGAGACCGACTCGCTCACGGCTACTATCACGAGCTCGGCCATCAACTTTGTTGTGACGGTAGACGCCATGCGTCTTGATGCAACATCATGGGCATGCCTAGGCGGTCTTGGGGCTGGCCATCTTCCACGAGCACCTCCCGCTGCAATGGTGGCTCGGCGCGTCCATCATCCTCCTCGGTATGGGCTGCCTTCTCTACGGCGACAAGGCGACGACCAAGACAAAAGACGAATGAACAACATATGCAAGTTAAATCCGAGCGCTTATGAGGTGGCCTGGGACGCGCGGTTGGCGAGGTTGAGTTCAAGGAGCTCGGGCGGCCAGTTTTCCAGCACCACGAGACGCAGCCAGTCGTGCTCGTTGCGCTCGAGGTACCAGCTGCAGAAGGCTTCGATCGCGACCATCTCGTCAGGCCCCCCGGGCGCAAACCCGCTCACGCACGCTTTCGCGCCGGCCGTCGCGCTGCCGTCGTCGCCATCATCGACGTCCAATAGTATGCTGCTACTGGTCGCATAGAGCATCTTGAGAAAGTTCTCAAGGCAGAGCTGCAAGATGGCGCGCGGGACAAAGTGATGGGCACTCACATCGTCGACCAGCTGCTCGGTGAACGCTGTAAAGCAGAGCAGCGCGGTGCCATGCAGAAGGATCTCCAGCAGCGACCCATCCGTGAAGACCATGAGGCCGCACAAGAGGTGCACGAGGGGCACAGTCGTGTCGCGCCGCCGGATCATGCGCGCGTCCGTCTCGTGTCCCTTGGCAAAGGCTGCAAAGACCGCGTCCGCAAAACGCAGCACGTAGCTGTTGGTGCAGTGGGCGTGCGTCGCGCAGAGTTGAAGGAGCGCGCTGCGGAACTGGTCTTTGGTCAGCGCCACCTGCACCGTCGGCGAGAGGAGGTCGGTCGACGGCGCCTCGTGGCGCTTCAGAAAGCTCTTGAGCACCGTCACGAGCTGCAGCGGCGCGTACAAGTGCAGCTCCAAATGCACCAAGCACTCGCGGAGCCCATGGATGGACGACGCGGTGAAGCGCAAGGGCCGACGCGGAAGACGCATCTCGAGCAGGACGGGGTCACTTGGAGCCGACGCCGGCGCGAGGCCAATGTCGCTGGCGCGGACGCCGCGCGTCGTCGTCGTCGTCGTCTCGTGCTGCCACTTGGCGACGTCGAGGAGCTCGACCCACGAGAGCGTCTCGTAGCCGCCGCCGTTGTACCACTCGCCAAACTGCTCAAACGAGATGCGGTTGCGCGTTCGGAGGCTCGCGTCGAGGGTGATCTCCGAGAGGACCTTGGTCGTCGCGTCGCCGACCACCTCGTCGGCCTCAACGTACATGTGTTCGAGGCCCGACCGGTACCGCGCGTCACTCAGCACCATGAGCGCCAAGAGAATCGAGCGCAGGTAGAGAAAGAGCATGCCATGGGGCAGCTTGGTCTGGTGCGGCGACCCCTTGTTGGCGAGCGACACGAGGAGGTCGAACGCGGCCGCGAGCTTTTGGCTCTTGGAGCCGTGCCCGAGGATCGTGAGCCCGCACGCGAGCTCGAGCGCTTGGACCTTGCCGGTTTTCTTGCGGTCGTAGACGCCAAAGAGCCGTGCGAGCAGCCGCGACGCGAGGTGCTGGCCTTCTTCGTTGATGGCTTGACGCGGAATGAGCTTGCGGATGCAGCGGTAGAAGCTCGCGCGCGAGATGACGAGGCCGTCGGCGGTCGTGCCATGATGCGCCCGCGCGTTGGCGACAATCGCTTCGTGGATCGCGGCCACGGGCAGCGACGGAAACTGCGTGGCGTCCAGCATACGCAAATACATATCAATGTCCTTCTCCGAGTACTGCAGGAGACTGCCCTCTTCGTGCATGTCAAAGGCGTACGCGAGCGGCTTCTCGCGCGCGTGGGCGTCCATGGCGGCTTTCGTCGGCCACTTGCCGAGGTCGAGGAGCTCGAGCCACGGGCAGCACTGGTACCCGCCGGCGCTGTACCACTCGGCAAAGACGCCAAGCGAAATCGACGACCGCGACTGCGTCTCGCAAAACACCTGCGACGTCAGTGCGCCGGCCGCCCGCTCGGCCGCAAACAGATTCGACGACGACGACGCGGCTTCGGCCAGCGAGAAGGAAAAGAGGAGCGCGAGGATGCTCTTGAAGAGCTCAAAGAGCGCGCGCCGCGAGATGCAACCGTCGCGGTGCACGTCGTACAGCGTGAAGAGCACGCCGAGCTTGTTGCTCTTGGAGCCTGCGCAGAGGATACTGAGCCCCGAGAGCAAGTGGAGCTTGTCGACGGCGCTGCCCATGATCGACGTCGATGGCATTGACGTCGCCGCGTCATCATGATGGTCATCGTCCTCGCTGCCGTCGAGGTTGGTCTCGGTCTCGTACAGCGAGAAGAGCCGGAGCAGGTGGTACGAGAGGAACTCTTGGTCTTCACTGCTCAAGCCTTCCTTGGGCGCGAGGCTCCGGATCGCATACAAAAACCCAGATTTCGTGAGGCACTTGCCCTTCGCAAACTTGTCCAAGCTCGTGTACAGCGCTTCGCACGTCAAGAACCGTAGCCGGAGCTTGTCGGCGATCGTCGAGACGACGGCAACGTCCCGTAGCCGGATACGGAGCATCGTCGCGTCGTACGACGTCAACTTGAACTGGAAGACAACCGACGACGAGTCCTTGTACCCGTCGTGCGTTGTCGCCGTCGTCGGGTACCCGCCGGTGCTGCTAACGACCGTCGTCGTGGTCTGGACCAGCGCCTCTTCCTTCTCTTGGCCGGCGGCCGTCGACGCGGTAAAGCTGTCGACGGCGTCGGCGATCGTGGCGTCGACGATGGGCCACTTTTTTGCATCCAAGAGCTCGATCCACGGAATGAGCGCGTATCCTTTCTCCGAGTACCAGTCGGCGAATTCGGCAAACGCCACTTTGGACCGCAGCACGAGGTCGTCGCCGCTCATGGACTCGTTGAAGATCGACTTGGCAATCGAGATGCACGCGGCGTCACAGATGTAGCCGATCGTGTCGGCCGACAAGTCGGCGCCGTTGCCGAGCGCCAGCAGCATCGTCAGGAACGAGCGCAGAAACTTCCACATTTCCCGGCGCGTGAGGAACCCGTCGCCGTCTTCGTCAAAGAGTCCAAAGCAAAACGCGAGCTTGGTGCTCTTCGAGCCGCCGCAGAGCAGGAGAAAGCCCGAGACGAACTCGGTCGCGTCCAGTGTCCCCGTGCCGGTCCGGTTGAACGCAAAGAAGAGTGCAGCGAGCGGCGAGAGGTCGCGCGCCTCCGGCAGCAGCGCAGCCATGCACGCATCAAACCGCCCTTTGTCGATCGTTGCGAGACCGTTGTGCACGTCAATGTAGTTGGCAAACGTATTGTGCACCGAAGGGACGTCAAGCGCATACAAGCCCGTGTTGCGCTGCAGCTGCGCGTAGTGCAGCAGATCGCCATTGTCGAACGCGAGGTTCTGGACCGGGTGCATGTCCGACTCGAGGAGCAGATCAAAGGCGAGGACAACGTCGTTCTTGAGGCAGAGCGCCGGGATCGAGTCGAGGGGAAGCAAGCCGCTATGCACCGGATTGGTGTCGTTGGAGCCAGCCTCTTTTTGGTTGGTCGCACGGATGTTCTTGGCCGTGTAGTACATGCTGGCCGAGACCGGCTGCACCGGCGTCTTGTCCAAAATCGACGTGTTAAAGTCGCCATAGACGAACGTCCACTTCTTGAGGTCGAGGAGCTCGAGCCAGCTCACGAGCTGGAAGCCGCCTTGGTTGTACCACCGGCCAAATGTCTCGAACGTGTAGGTTGGCGCATCGAGCGCGTCCAGAATCGCCGCGCCGCCTGCATCGACAAACGCAAGGATCGACGACGTCGGCAGTGGCATGGCCGGCGGTGCGAGGCCGAGGATCGTGAGGATGACTGAGCGCAGGAAGCGCCAGAGTTGGCCCTTGGAGAGGTACCCGAGGTCGTCCGTGTCGAAGAAGTGGAAGCCGGCCGCGAGCTTGTCGCTCTTGGAGCCGTGGGCGAAGAGGCTAAAGCCTGCTGCGAGCTCGAACGCGTCGACCGTCGTCTTGCTATGCGCGCCGCCGAGGTACTGCTTGAAGAGCGACCGCACCGCGCCCATGAACTTGTCGTCGTCCATGACATGGTTGGTGCACGTCATGCACGTGAGCTCGTTGACGCTCTCGATGAACGTGAGCTCGTCGAGCCAGCCGTCGAGCGTGTGGTGCAGAAAGGTGTCGTACAGCGTTTGCGGCGACAGCACGGGGAAGCGCGTCGCCATGAGGAGGTCCTCGAGCTCGACCGCATGCGCCTCGTGGATGCCAAGCACGTGCGAGTCCGAGACAAAGCCAAAGAGAACACCGTCACCCGCGCTGCTCGGCGGTGGCGCCATGGCGCTTCGTTGCTCGGTGACATTCCACCGATCCATGTCGAGCAGCTTGAGATACGGCGCCTCCGTGGCCCCCACGAGGAGGTACCAGTCCCAAATGTGCTCCAACGTCAGTGTCGGCGTCTGCTCCAAGAGGCCTTGGACGGTCTTGGTGGCGCTGTGCGTGAGAAGCTCGACGATCGCGTCGGGCGCGTGGCTGTCTTCGTCCGCATTGCCCGCAAAGAGGCAGTAGAGCCCGAGGAGGAAGCCGCTTAGAACCCGCACGAGGTCGCCTTCGGTGATGACGTCGTCCGTGGTCACGAGCTGCAGTGCCGTGCGGAGCTTGTCTTCGGTCGAGCCGTCGAGCACCGTCATGGCACCGATCGCGAGGTCCGCCATGTCGACGCTGTGCGCCGAGAAGGTGTGGTAGAGCAGCTCCAGTAGCGCGCGCGCCGACCGAAAGTCGCGGTCCGTCTGAATGCCACTCGCCGCCTTCATCCATGCGAGGAACGCGTCGCGCTCGGGCGTCGTGCCCGGCGTGACCTGCTCGGCGAGCGCGCCGAGGTGGCAACCCTTGCGCACTAGGTGGCGATTATGCCATGAGCCATCCATTATCGCGATGTCGACGTACATGCAGTCGTTCCGCCATGGATCTCGTCGGCCAGCGCCGGCTCGACCACGAAGCGCAGCCGCTGGCTCGTGTACGGGACGTCGACTTGGCTCATTCGTCGGCTTGGGAAGTTACACCGAACGCTCGATCACACGTCTTAGATACCAATCTGTGCGCGATGCCATTGGATAAAACTCGCGTAATCCTGCAAGGCCATTGGCTTAAAAGTGCATGCAGAATACAAGCTCCTAAAATTTGGCGTCGCCAGCTGCGGGCCAAGATCGCAGCGCCCCTGCCTCTGCACGACGGCGCGGCTACCCGCGCTTGGCCGCCTTGGACGAGCTGCGCCGCTTGATCGACTTGCGCGGCTGCTTGAGCCTACGCCACGGATGCTTCTCCGCCAGACTGCAGAGGAGCCAGCGTACGCGTCCATGTCGGGGCCATCGGCAGCGTCGCCCGTCGGCAGCCGAAACATGGCCTCGCCCACCTTCTCGTGCGCACTGTGGAGTTCATTGATGGCCGCGTCGATTGCGACATGCTCGACAAAGGTGCCACAAAACTACATGTAGCCAGCATCACTCGTCGCCGGTTCGAGCTCGAGGCGCCGACCTGCTTGAAGGTGCCACTCGTATACAGGCACGCCTCGACGACTGACAGTGGTGGGCACGTGAACCTGCACGCATGAGGCTCTGCCTTGGCACGTTGACGTACTTTTCGTGACACCCGCGATGCTCGTCGCGGACCTTGGTGGCGACGGCTTCGCTGAGCTTGGCCTGCGCGCCGTCCTTGCGCCGCTTCTCGTCGACCGTCTCGCACGCGTCCTTCTTCTCGGGTCGCATGTACTCGGCGTAAATGTGGTAGACGTGGGCTAAAAACTCTAGCCTCACGTGCTACAGAAATGCTCGCAGTGGCGGGGTTCGATGGACCGACCATTGTAAATCAAGCACGCCCGGAAGCACGTCAAGATGCGCTTGAAGGGGATCTCGGCCGTGCAGCTCTCTTCCTCGACGAGGTGGCTGCATGCTTGCACCACGAGCGACCGCGGCAAGCCCGCGCAGTGCGTCGCCGCCAGCTGATGAAAGTCATCCATCGTCATCTCTATCCCCGTGGCGTCATCATGCAAGGGCGAGGTGCATGTAGTCGCACCATACGCTTCGTCAATGTTGCCGAGCGCGTTGTCGAGGAGGGCTAAGAAGGCGAGGCGGTTGCGGAGGTTAGCGTCGACAAACTCAAAGGACCGGCCTTCGACGTGTGTCATGGCGAGCACCCTGCGGCCATGAGACGTATCCGTGTGCTCGTAGCAGTGTACCTGGAAAAGTACTTGTCAAAGAAGCGGACCGCGCTCTCGGGCCGCTCGACGAGGAGCTGCTTGAGCGCGTCTTCGAGGAACGTCTTGACGCCCGTGCGCTCGAGGTAGTCGAGGCTCGGAAGACTCTCGAGCGCGGCCGCCTGCGGCAGCAAGAGCGAGGCCCGCAGCACCTTGCGCGCGCGGTGGCTGCCCATCACCGTCGTCCCCAGTGGCCCTTCCATGCCAAGATACGCTCGGAAATAGTGTGCTGAGCGACTCGTCACACTCTCATTTCGCACTCTCGTTCCGCACTCTCATTGAGAGTGCTCGCCACCACCGAGAAAGGCCCATTCACTTTTCTTTCAATCTTTCAAGTGCAATATACGACCACTGTAAATTGATGGAAAATGCTTGGTCCGAGCAAACATGCGTCGCCGAGGATCGAAGCGGGGGCCAAGTGGGTAGTAATGAAAAAAAGTGTCATTGGTTTTGACTTACGCCGTCGCAAGGCGCACTTGCTTTTCGATTTTCTTGCGGATCTTGTCTGTCTTGGACGACGTGTCGCGGGGCCGGATCGCCTAACGTTGCGTGCGTGAAGCATGCCATGTTGAAAGCGTCTGCCTTACGAGGTAGATGAGCGTGAGGAAGGCAAGCACGAGCAAGATGTAGAGAAACACGTTTTTGGCCCAAAAGAACGTAAAGCCCTTCATGTACTTGAGCTGGACCCCCATCATGGCTACGACACAGAGAAAGATGATAACAGAATCATGCATCGACGCTATCGAGCCTGTCGTACTTTGGATCGTCGTGAGGCGGACATAGTCGCCAAAGGCTTGGTTGGCGAATTGGACGCATGGGATGCAGCAGAGCAAGATGAGCCTACATCGCTTCTCAGATCTGCTTTCTTCTTGGATTCAGTGTGTACGTGAGATTAAAGAGGAACGAGTTCATGTACGTGCCGTTAAACTCCATCGGGTGCAGCTACAAAGGCAGCATCGCATGAGAGGCATCCTTTCCATGGCCATGAACATTAGGACGCACCGCACAGCAGAAGCAGCGCATGCCAAACTTGAAGCAGCCCTTGACACAGCACGCGAGCAGGTACAGCGTAAAGAGCCCGACAGAGATCGTGCCGAAGAGCGGGAACCACGAGTCGAACCAGATAAAGTAGTTGTTGAGGAACGGCACGATGGGCACGCGAGGGAGCATGGCGAGGATGATCTGGAGCACCCAGAGAAAGCTCACGATCGAGCAGAGAAACCCGAGCACGAGCTTCCCGAACGGAACTAACGGGTTGTAGTTCTTGTAGTCTTCGTGGCACAGTTTGAGTTCCTGGACGTCCTTCTCGAGCAAGTAGACGGCCTAGCCCATCGGTTGATGCATATCGACTGCCAAACGATGGCATTATGTACATACCTGCTTGAACTTGTTCATCATGAGCAGGTCTTGGCGGGCTTGCTTTTGGCGCTCCCGCAGCGAGAGCTTCGAACCCGTGACCGTCTGCATGCCGCATGAGAGACACGCATTGCATTACGCCATCGCGTACGAGCTGCTGCGCCTTGATTTCTTTGCCGACTTCCAGAAGCTCGAGCGACCGGATCTGGATGAGCATCTACACAGCATTCCGTCGCGTCGTCCAAGTCGATACATTGATACATTGATACACACCTTTTGCTGCGCATAAATGTCGGCGGGCATGAAGCGCGGGCGGTAAAAGAAGGCCCTAGTCCACAAATGTATCAATGTTTCAAGCCGAAAAACCAAGTGTGTGTACAAGATCAAGTCGAGCGGCAGCGCGATAAGGCCGATCGCGACAAAGATCGTAAAGGCGAACCAGCCCACAAAGCTAAAGAGCGCGGTGATGTAGATGGGCACCGAGACCGCGACGGTCATGTTGGTCGCTTGCACGGGGTGCGTGAGTGCAGCGAGGCGCTCGTCCGAGCTAATGACGGACCCGTCTACGGGATCGTCAGATCGCATACTAAATAGCACTTTAATGCGAGTCTACCCGTAAACTCGTGAAAGCCAGCGTACGCAGCCAGCGCCGACGGGACGACAATGGTCGCATTGGCCACACTGCTGCTGCCATTGCTTGCCGTGATCGGGATCGATCCATTCGGCATCGAGCTCATGACAATGGCTTCGTACGGGATCGTCGACGTCGACGACGTGGTGTACGTGATTGCAATCACGATCGCGACAACGATGAGCGTCCCGACTTCCATCTTGAGAGCATCGAGCCAGCGCGACGCGGCCTTGGCGTCGTCAAAGCCGTCGTCCGCTTCGTAGTAGTAGATCGCAAACGGCAGCAGCAGCACGAGGAAGACGACGATGGCCATAAAGACGATGAGCCAGAGCACCTCCATGTCGAGGTTGCCGCAGGTGCTGTTCCAGCCCGCGTCGCACCCAATGGCGGTTGAATTATTGGCCTACGAGGCAGACGTCGATGCATGGATCCTCCTCGATAAGAACGTACGACGTCGAGCGGGAGGAGCAGGATGCAAGCTTCGGCGAGGAGGAGACCGACGATCTAAGACGACACTAAGAAATGGGCTGCGAGAGGATGCAGCACGTACGACGAGGAGCTTGGGAAAGTACGCAGTGTTCTTATCATCCGGGTGCTGGAAGTAGACAAGGATGTAGACGTTGGCGGCGAGGAAGACGAAGCTCATGAGCACGACAACGACGATGAGGAACCAGTTGAGCGCCATGCTGCGGGTACCGATCGATCTGCCAACTGAAGCGAATCGTTACTCCCACGAAGGGGTTTCGAGATCCAAATCCAGCTTGAAACGGTCCAAGAACCCAACGAGAACGCGTCCCAGGTACTAATAAACATGCAGGATGCACGCCAGCGGATGGGAATACATGTGGCAAGGGCGGTCCTGCAATAATCGAGACCTCGCACTACATACTAGGCGGTGGTGCATCATCGCTACCAATCTGGCCACGGTCATTCTGCCAGCATGGCCCTTTTGAAACGTATTTCGTTCTTGCACAAAAGAATTGTTGTCCCATTTCGTACCGGGTACCTGCAGGTACGCGTAGTTGTCCCATATCCTACCTGCAGGTACGAGTAGTTGTCCCATTTCCTACCTGCAGGTACGAATAAGCAAACTCGGCACCATTTCCGTCTCGAATATGGAAAGCAATAATCCCAGCGGTGGATGCGTCCATGTAGGGGAAGAGGCCTCACGGTGCATCTTTATTTGGTCATCATCATGTTGACGTATTCTTCATAATTGACGAGCCCATTCGAGTCCGGCTCCAACTGTGTACAAGCGTCTCAGGATTTTGAAAGAGCGACAGACGCGCGTACCTGGCAGATGAGCTCTCGTGCCTGCTCTTCCGAAATCTTGTCGCTGCCGTACGTCGTGAGCGCACTCAGGAGCCGCTCGACGCGGATACATCCTGGCGTGCTCGGGTTTTCAAACATCTAATTCCTCGCAGTTGCTAAGTCGTTGCAGTTGCTAAAAGGAGAGACCTTGAAGGACGCTTTGACTTGGTCGGCGCTGTACGTGGCATTCACCTTGCGGCTCATGACGGCCACAAACTCTGTGCGACAGGATAAGACGACAATAAGATAATGCACACGCACGCACCATCAAAGTCGATTTCGCCGTTGCTGTCTTGGTCGATCTCGTTGATCATGAGGTCGATCTCTTCCGGCGACGTGTTGATCCCGAGCGTGTCCATGAGTTCGCCGAGCTCGACCTTGGTGATGGACCCGCCACGATCCTACTCGGTTCTTAGCGCCATTCGCTATCAGACGTAGTATCCGACGCGGTCGACGAGGTTGAAGATCTCGCGGAACTCGGTGATCTCGGTCTCGCTCAGTTCCTGCGTCATTCGGGCCAAAGGCAATGTGAAACGACCAATCACACGCTGCTGGTGTCGAGATCCGGCCAATCAGCGCGCTCGAAAGCGATCTTTTTCGAAAAGGTGCGATGGGGCGGACCGTCAGCGCTGGGCCGCCCACGACTGTGAGCAAGAACACGGTTCAGGGCTTTGTTGTGCCCATCAAGCACAGCAACGATGTAAGTACGGTCATCGCAGACCTCCAGCAGCAACGCGCCCTGCGACGGGCCACCCATATCGCGTACGCCTACCGCGTCATCGAGATGGCGGTGGATACGCCCGAGAAGTCGTCGCAGACCGTCGCCGAGCTCTACGACGTGGTCGAAGGTATGCACGACGGAGGCATGTTTGGCGCTGGCGACAAATTACTCTACGTGCTACAACGCTGGGACGTGCACAACGTTGTCTTGGTGGTGAGTCGCATCGATGCCTCGTACTCGGGACAGCTGCTGGGCGCCAACACGTACAAGCTCCTCGTCGAGAGTGCGAAGCAAGCACTCGAGCAATTCGCCGTCGACTCGCTCGAGGTAGTACCGTGCGCAGCGAGATCGTGATGTCGACGCGCGTAGCCGGCCGAGGCCGCCAAGCTCGCGATTTCCGAGCTCCCGCCGCAGCTTCCACCGGCCAAGGTGGCCGCGACCACGACCAATATCGCGTACGAAGGCGGCGCGTACATGGTGGACGGTGTCTTGCAAGGCGCCAAGCAAGGGCGGATCAACCACTTTCTCGCGGACCGACGCTCCAACCAGAGCCAGGAACGCAAGCACGAGACGATTCGGAGCCTCGATGCATTGGGGATTTCAAAAGATGAACTCACTGCTCTTCGCGCCGTACGGTCGCCGTCCAAGGAGCTCCACACCGTGCTGGTCTGCGTCGGCCTCTTGCTTCAGATCAAGGATGTCTCGTGGACCGGCTGCCGCGATATGCTCCACGCGCCCGGCTTCTGTGCCAAGGTGCTGCGGGTCACGCCCGAGAAGCTCACGGCGCGCCAAGTGCACTGCGTGCGCGCCGTGCTCTCGGACGCAAACCTCGCGCCAGACGCCGTCCGTCGGGCGTCAACGACCGGCGCCGCGCTTCTCGTGTGGGTCCAAAGCCTCCTTGACTCGTACGACGCGACGACCTTGGGCTTGTCGCTCGGTGCTGTGCCAGCACAGCCCGCTGGGCGCATGGACGATGCACTCCTCGAGATGGCCGTGCGCCTCGAGCCGCCGTCGCGGCCGCCGCCACCCGAAGTGCATTCGGTGATTCCGACCGACCTCTTTGCCCCGGCAAAGCCGCCCAAGATTGTCGATCACGGTCGTCTCGTCAAGCCGAAGGCGTCCATGTAAGAAGCTCCGTTGGGCCCAGAACAATCGTCGTTCTCTCACTGCTCGACTGGCAGCAAAGACTGCCGTGGTATCGCATCGATCCTAAGCATAGAAGAGGAGTAGCAGGTTCCTACTCGCAGCCACTGGGCTTGTGAGCTTATAGTATCAATCTTTCAAGGCCCTGCTAAAACGCAGCCAGATCGCGTGGTACTGGCGAAGTCCACTAGATTGGTGCTTGCGAGGTGCCATGTACCATAGCGTTAGCAATCGCATCGATGCAACCTTTCTGTAGCGGGTATCCTGTAGCTTATAGCTGCATATTGTCGGTTGATACTGATGACGTGGCAGCAGCATGGTCACTCGAGTTGTTTGCTTAAGATCTCGTATGACGCTTCGTGGTCCTCGTGCTGGCTCGGCGACGTCTCGTCGACCTCGTACTGCATGGTCTTGGTGTAGAACTGCACCGCTGACGCGTTGGCCTTGAAGACCGTCAAGACGATCCACTTCATCTTGTATCGCCGCGCAATGAGCTCCAACAGCTGCATGAGCCGCTTCCCGAGCCCGCGCCGCTGCAGCGCTACGCCAATTTGAAGCTCGTAAACGTACACGATCTCGGCGCCGTCGTCCTCGACGAACCGAAAGTGCACGAATGCGTCGACGTCGCCCGCGACGAGGTACCGCGCCGCCGGATCAAAGAGCTCGGCGCGCTTGGCGGCCATGTCGAAGCCCCATGACGACTGCTCGTAGAAGCTCTGCATATTGGCGCAGAAGAGCGCCTCGATCTTGGTCTTCTCGTCTGGCGTGAGGCGCGAGGCTGGCAGCGATCGCAGGCCCACGGGAACGTCGCCGGCTGCGTACGTGGCGAACGGCGCAAACTCAAGCATGAAGTCATCGACGCTGTTGGCGTGAGCCAGCGCCGTCTTCCGCGCAAGCGCCTGCTGCTCCTTCTTCGTCAGCCGCTTCGCTTTGGGTGGCATCCCGCTGGGTTGTGAGCGGGTCGAGTTATTAAATGTGGCACATAAGCCGAAAATAATACCACCGGTGCGGTTGAGGGCAACGGAAACAACCCACCGACATTTAACCAACACGGCCAAATCACCACGAAACAACCTAGGCCGCGCACCAAGCGTGGGCCCTGTGCCAGCATGTGTATGGTCGTTCGAGCATATGAAAATTATAGCGGTGGCTTGCTACTTACGGCAACGCCACTACAATGTGGCATATGCCGAAATCCAGCATGGAAGTATACGAATATAGAGGTACTGTGTCAATAAATAGTGACTGGGAAAGACTTGAATTCTGTATCCTATACAAATTCATAGACGGCAATAAGTCAGGCCACACACTCAGTAAAAGAACTGATGGAGGACCTCTCGCCGAACGAACAAGTCGCTGCCTTCACGGTCGCCGGTGCTTTCGCCGGCGCCGCCATCGGCTCGGTCGAGTCCGTGTGGCACATCCCCAAGCTCGGTACGTCCTGCCATGTCTACGCGCCTCCAAGCTTGACCAACGACGTTGCCTGCAGGCGAAGCGCTCCCGAGCTTTTCGCACCAGCTTCGCGCGATTGCCCTTCGCTCGGTACGTGAACGTCGCCAGCACGCTCAATCGCTCATGGCCCAATGTAGGCGTCGTTCGGCATGATCTCGTTCTCGTACGCTGTCGGCAAGTCGACGGCGGTAGGCGAAACTCCATTTTGGCATGCATCATCTCATGTGCTTCCGCTGCATAGGCCTCGATCCGCATGAAGGACGATGTCTTCAACCCGATCGTCGGTGGCTTTGCGGCCGGCATCGTGCCGGGCATCTTGCGGAAGAGCGGCAAGGTCGGCCTCGGCGCCGGCGCGGCCATCGCCACGGTCATGGCGGCCACCGAGTACTTCTCGGCGGGCGCGGAACCCACGGCGAACAAGTGGGCCTCCCGCTACGACCACCTCAAGAAATAAACGAGGCCACCAGTGTGTGTGTTATTTCTTCGACAACGCGTCGTTATCGGTGTCCCCATCTCCCATTAGCCAACGACCTGGACGCTGCAGTCGACGCCTGTGCGACCTGTAAAGCCAACGCTAGAGGACGACGCCGTCATACCTAGGAACCCTTCAAAGCACGCACACGAGCCGTCCTTGTAGTTGCAGATGCCTCGGTTGGAGCACTCGATATGGCAGAGGTTGCCGAGAGCACCCACCGACGCGCTTCCGGCGGCCGCGACGCCCGCGCAGTCGGTGTCGGTCACGCCGGAGAGCGGGTCGTTGTTGGACGGGCAGTGCCCTATGCGATGCCAGTCGGTCAGGTGCCAAGAGTATGTACTATCGCACGCAGGGAGCAGTCGGCCCCAAACCACTCGGGCTCTTGGGTCTGTCCGGATGCTAGGCCGACGGGCCACGCCGAGTCGCAGACGCAGCCAAAGATGCGTTCTTGGTCCCATGTCGTGGTAGTCTGCGGCTCGTACATCAGCTTGCCCATTGGCAGCGCGTCTTACCTGGAGCCCGTAGTACGTCGTCGCCGGCGAGAGCGGCAGCGCTGCTGCTTGGCTTGCAAGGTACCGCATCGAGAGGCAGCGGCCGTGGCCCGAGCACGCGTTCGGGCAGCCCGCTAGTCATCGTCAGCGATGTGTATTCCTTCCAAGCACGTACAGAGCTCACAGGCGAGGCCCTGGAAGCCGGGGAAGCAGTTGCATTCGCCCGTGATGGTGTTGCAGATGCCCATGTCCGAGCACTCGGCGAGCACTGTATGGCCCGTCGTCGCGGACGTCGGGACGCTATTCCACGAGAGGCCCGCCGGACACGTGCGCAACGAGCAGTCGGGGGTCTTCCAGATCGAAATGTCGGTCGGCGCGCCCCACCCGACCTGGCACGTGCACACCTTCGTGGCCGTATTGCAGAAGCCATGGCCGTTGCAGTTGTTGAGCGTCGCACAGAGGTCGCCGCCCAGCGGGTTGTAGCCGGCGACGACTGCGATCCCGACACAGAGCAGGCTCCGCATGCGACCTCGGCCGTTTTTTTGCGATCTTACATGGGCGTTGCCGCTTCATGGACGCGTGAGAACGGCGTGACGCTCAAAGGGCCATGCGCTCGCGGCGACGACGAACTTGGCTGTGGCGACAACCACGTGGCATCATGCGGCCGCATGAAGATGAAGCCGCCCGGCAGGTATAACGCATCCGCGTACCTCGTAGTGCTCGCCGAGCATCGATTGGCATGGATCGTAAGACGATATAGAGCATGCCTACAGCGCCTCGACTCGATGCATGGCTGCCCGCGCCGATGGCTCCAGCGCATGGCATGGCATGCCACGCGCCTCGCCGCCGCCATCGCCTTGATGCAAGCCCAACCCAGTTTGCTTCTCCTGCAGTTCACTGCTCTTCCATCCCTCCATAGAGCATCCTCGTCATCCTAGGCCATGACACGCACCCATCGCATGCGCGCTTCGGACCTTCGCCGACGCTTCGATCGTGGTACCGCCTGTCTACCTCTAGCAATGCATACACCGGGCAACCTCTGGAAATGGATATTTCGGGACGCGGATCCAACCACGCATTTGTGGACGACGAGTGAGCCGACGACCAAGATGGTGTCCATCCGCAATGCGACGGTAGGTGCTGCGATGACGTGGCAGGCTAAGGCTCATGCGCGGTGCTGGCAGGTGACGGATCTTCTGGCGATGCAGAACGCGAACCTGTGGTGCCTGCCCGAGAACTACCAGATGAAGTACTACTACTACCACATCATGTCGTGGCCGCAGCTGCTCTACGTGGCCGAGGACCACGACGGCAAGATCGTGGGCTACGTGCTCGCCAAGATGGAAGAGGAGGCGACCGTGCCGCATGGCCACATTACGTCGCTCGCCGTGCTCCGGACACACCGCAAGTGCGGCATTGCCACCAAGCTCATGAAGGCGGCGCAGCGCGCGATGGTCGAGAGCTTCAAGGCCGAGTATGTCTCGCTGCATGTGCGCGAGGGTAACGCGGCCGCGATCCACCTCTACCGACACACGCTCAAGTACCAAGTGTACGACATTGAGAAGGGCTACTACGCCGACGGCGAGGACGCGTACGACATGCGCCTCCCGTTCACGGACAAGTGCAACACGGCCATGGCCGCCAACGTCGCCAAGTGGAACAAGTACCTCGCCGACCTCGGCAAGTAGATTAGCATCGAGGCAGCGACGCGTTGTGCTTAATAATAATAGGTGCGGATGTACTGATCGGACGTCCGACGGACCTTGGACACCTCGGGCGCGATGCCATGGCCGGCCAAGAGCTGTACGAGCAGCGCGAGCCGCTTGAAGCGCAGGTGCAGCGGCCGCCCGCGCTTGACGTAAATGTCTTCTTCGCCGTACTCGTCCACATACGGCGACGTAAAGAAGCAGGCGCGGCCATGCATGCTCACCAGCAGCACGCTGCACGCTTTGAGGAGGAAGAAGGCGCCGCTGCCGTGGCCGCAGTGCTCAACATGGCGCGAGCAGGCGCCTTGGCCGTCGACCTTGCAGCAGTCGGTGCCGGCGCAGACTGCGACGCCGCAGCGCAGGCAGAGCGCCGTCGTCTCCATCGATAGCGACGTACTCGGGCAGCGGTGGCCGCTATGGAGCGCGTACAAGTCCGTGTACTTCTGCGGCAGCGGCGGGCTGTGCACATGCCACGCCCACGGCACACTCCCCACGATCATGATCGGCAGCGCCGGCACATGCGCAGATTCGAGGAGCGGTGCCAAGACGCTCCGAAAGGCCGTGGCGCCAAAGAGGTCGCCGGGAAGGGGCACACCGAGCTGCTGGCACAGACGCGGCAGCGAGCTCGACCCGCGCAAGGTCGAGACAAAGTTGAGGTACAAGCTCGCGTCCGGATCCTCGGGGCCGCGGAAGATGGCGCGGGCGAGCAAGGTTGCTTTCCGCAGAAAGGTCAAGACCGTCGTCTCAAAGCCGCCTGCAGCATCGCCCCCGACGGCGCCGTCGACGCGATCGGACGACCAAGCGACGCGCGCCAGCCGTCCACGGACGTCACCGCGCCGTCAGGCGTCATCGCGTCACACGCTGTCGTTGTCTGGACCAAGGCTTGGGCCATCTGCAGCGCCGCGAACGACCGGATCGTCCAGAGGATCTCTGCCTTGTCCTGTATAATCGCACACGCGACAAGGAGCGATGGAAACAAGTCTTGAGCCAGCAACGGCGCTGAGAGAGCCGGGAGCGCGCCGGCGTGGGGCACATCGCCTTCGAGCGTTCTTGCGAGAGCATCTGGAACGGCGGCGACGTAGTCGGTGGCTAGAAGCGATGGCAACAGCTGCAGCACGAGGCGAAGGGCTTCCAACTTGGCGTCGTCCCGGGGCGTCAGCGCATCCAAGCACCCGTCGGCGTCCGGTGGCAAGTCGACGCCGAGCCGGTGCGTCGCCGTCGCCGTCGGGGCATACGCGATATGCAGCAGCGCCGCAGAGAGGCCTTGGGTCTCGGCGGCTGCGAATGCGTCGGCGACCGTGTCGAGAACCGTGGCCGCGGCCGAATCGAGCGGCCTCTGCAGCGACGTCACATACGCGTGCATGGCATCGCGGGCCGCAGGTGGCAGCTACTCCAGACATGGAGAGGATCATCACCACACGAGGTAATTGCAACGACAATCGTACCGGTGCCAGCGGCGCAGACGATCGAAGCCGCGACGGGAGCTGCTGCAGGTGCGCGAGGACGCTCTCGACACTGCTCGCGCGTTGGAAGAAGGCCTCCATGGCCGGCCCGGACGTACTTGGCGCCGGTCGCGGCACAAACGGCACCGTCGTGCTGCTCAGCGCCTTGCAGAGCGGGCAGAGGAACTCGCCTCTCGCCGCATCAAAGGCCACCGCCGAGAGCATCGACGCATCCGTCTCGCGGCGCATCGTGCATCGGTACTGCTCCACGCATGAGAGGTGCACTGCGTGCCCACACAGCTGGACGTGGATGGCCGCGTCATGACTAGGACGACGTGAGCGTTTTCATGTCTACTCCACGAAGCATCGTACTACCTCCTCTGCGGCCGGCCAATGCGCTGGGCAAGGCCGATAAACATGATAGGGTCGTCCTTCTTGACGTGAGCGCAGATGATGCACTCGGGCGGCGGCTGCTCCATCGGCATCGCATTCGTCCGATCGGTATCCGCCTCGTCGTCGTCGTCGTCGTCGAGCAGCGAGGTCGCAAACTGCGACTGCCGTGCCAGCATCGCCGCCATCGCCTGCTGCTGCTTTTGCTTTTGGAGTGCGAGCCGCGCCTTGGCGTCCAAGGGCCCGCTGCTCGTTGTTGGCGCCACGACACGGAGGACGTCGGCGGCGAGGAAGCGCGCCATCCCCTCGTCCATCGCCGCATACGCTGCGAGCACGTAGAGAATACCGGCCAAGAGTGGCGTCAGCGACGCTTCGCCGAGGGCCCGCAGCCGCGTCGCATGCGCCGCCAGCAGCTGCACGAGACTGCCGTCGCCGCACCTAGTCATCCTTGATTTTCAATCTACCGCCCACGGTCCATGTATCATCCTAAAAACGTACGGGGCATGGTTGCCGGGCGGGAAAGGGAGCGCGAGGCGAGCGTCGGTCGGTGTTGCGGCCATCGTGAGCTCGGGCACCAGAGCCGCCGTCGCCGCGTCACGCTCCGAGGACGCGTTCAGAACGTGGAGCTGGAGCGTGAGCAAGTGCACCGTCCGCGTCAGCATGGTCTCGTCGCCGCCGAGCTGGGCGTCGCGCAAGCAGTGCCGGAGCACGGCGACCAAGTCGGGTGTGAGGGCGAGGTCGCGGACGCGGGCCATTTGCGCATGGGGCATCGGAAGTGCGGCGACGAGCGGCACAGGCGTGTCACGCCAATTCTTGAAGACGACGTCGTGCCGAGCTTCCTGCGCCTTGATGTGCCGGGACCCGCTCAGATGCAGACACGCCGGGTCGTACTCGTGATACACCGCGTGCTTGAGCACATACTTGGCGGGCGCGATGCTGTCGGTCGCTGCCAATTGGCTCTCGGCGATCTCGTCGAGGACACTCCGGAGCTGCTTGTTGCGCGCGTCTTCGGGCAGCGCGTCGTACTGCGGATACGCATACACACTGGCCGCTTCGTCGCGGAGCGTCGAGTAGTTGCACGGCTGGTGCAAGAGCAAGTGCACGAGCTTGCGGCGGAGACCGATCTCGGCGCCTTGCGACGCGGGCGGCGGCACTTCGGTGAGCAGCCACAACAAGTGCAGCAGCGACTGCGCGACGAGCTGCGTCTGCTTCTCACTCGACCACAGTCGAGGTGTTGTCGGTGATGCGAGATACGACGCGAGACCATACCGGTCCAAGAAGCGGGCCAAGAAGGCGTCGGGTCCGAGGATAACGACGCCGAATTGCAGCAGCGTCAGGTCCACGTCTCGAAACGACACGTGTGCTGTCAAGTTGGGAAAGTAATAGGCTTGGTCCGCGTAGCTAGTCACTTCGTGTGTCATGAGTTCTTGGCCATTGCGCACCCAGAGATGACTGGCAATCTGCGCCGACAAGACGAGCGAGCGCAGCGGGAACTCGAACAGAACGTCCCATTTATCCACATGACCCACGCGGGCGTGGGCAAAAGCGATCACGTCGATCGTGTCGACCGCCAGCAGCTCGAGCACAAAGAGACCGATCGCCTGGTGCAGCGGGTGGTGCAGCGACACGGGCTCCGCGGCCACGTCACACTGCACGACTCGATGCTGGCCGATCGTATGGTACGGAAGCGGCGCCGCCGTTAGCGCCGGCCAGAGGCCGTCCCAGATGAGCGCCGCGACATCGATGTCGAGCACGTGCTTGCCGAGGCGAAGCCCCTTGAAGAAGCTTTCCGTGACCGACGCGAGGCTCACATGCAGCAGGAGCGCATTGTACCACGGCATGTTGTCTTCGAGTTCAATGTGCGGCTCCGACTCGCGCACTCGGAGCTGGGCGTTCAGGTGCGACGCGTCATAAAGAAGGCGGGCCCACGTCGGGAGGTGCTCGAGGAAGGCGTGCGCGACCGACGGCACGAGCAACACAAACCCAAGGTCCGTGATGACGGGCTCGTACCGCGTAAATCGCACCACAATGTGGTCCAAATTGATGACGCGCCCATGTCGTCGATCGTCGTCATCGACCTTGGTGAGCTCGAGGCCCTCGGCGAGCACGTGGAGCAGCATCGAGAGGAGGCCCTTGTCGTCGACGAGCTGCGGCACGATCGACGGCGTCGTGAAGATCTGCACGCTGAGCCCAAACATGGCTTCGTTTTTGGTGCCGACGCCGCACAAGTACTCTCGCATGACCAGCTGGTAGACCTCGACGTAGAAGAGCGCGAATTGCCACTTGAGCGTCCGATCGCCCATGAGATGGAGGTACGCCGAATGGAGCGCCATCACAATCGCCTTGGGCAGCACCGACGTCGCCGTGAGGAGCTCGACGATCGGCTCCATGTCGCTCGAGACGTGGGTGTAGACCTTGTCGTTGATGCTCGTAAGCGGCTCAAAGAGCACGCCAAAGAGCATCTGCTGCAAGGTCGGCGAGAGCTGCGCGAGCCCGTGGATGTACGAGAAGAGACGGACAACGATGGCTTCGCGAGCGAGATGGTCGTCGTCGACGACCGACGCGAGCCAGCCTTCCGCTTCCATGGCCTGCATGAGCGCCAGGGCTTCGTGGAGGAGGACTTTTTCCTTGAGGAGCGCGGCGCCGTCGGCGTCGACTAAGTGCGTAAACTGCTCGGCAAACTCGAGCGAGTAGCCCTTGTCGACGAGCGATCCTGTGAGATCTTGGTCCGTGTGCACGTCGTCGTTCGAGATGCGCACGTGATACAAGGTCGGGAGGTCGTCGTCGTCGGTGTGCTTGCGCTTCTTGGGCTTGAGCCGCGCCTCAATCTTGGTCGGGTCGTGGTTGTTGGTCGCGCGACCTGCGACGTCGACCATGTACACAATGAGCTCGCGCAAGACGTCGAGGATCGTGGCGGTCAATGGCGGCGGCAGCTCGAGCGGCGTCTCGACAACGTCCGCATCGCTCGCCTGCACGCGGTGCGCCGGACACATGCCATGGACCTGCCACGCCTCCGTGTCGCCGCAGTCGCACATGCCGCCCGGCGACGTCCGGTGGAAGAAGACTTGGTGGCCGTCGTGGTCGGACGCCTCAAAGCACGCCTGGCACTGCACGCACGTCTCGTCCATCTCGCAGTCGCGGCAGCTCCACGAGATATCGTTCTGCTGAAACATGTAGCCGCACACGCGCTTGGGCATCGTGAGCGCATGCGCCTCGTGGACGTGGCGCAAGTACGCGGCGACCGTCGGGAAGGCGCCGCTGTCGGCCACGCGGATCGCTGCATGCAGCGCGGCCTCGGCAAAGTCTGGGAAGCGCTCCGGCTTGTGGCCATACGCGAGGAGGCTCACGATCCATCCGGCCTCGAGCACGGGCTCGAGCCCACGGCGCAGCCGGTCCTCGACGTAGCGCCCCAGCGCACTCGGGCTCGCGAGGTGCGACATTCGGTAATGTCCACGCCACAGAAAGAGCTTGCGTTTCGTAGACTCTGCGCATGGCATGATGGAGGTGGCATACGCCGAGAATAGATGTCCGATGCCGAAAATAACACCGAGGATGCCATGCCGAGTGCTGCGACGCGGCAGCGACGCTCCCGGTCCCCGCGTATGCGTCGCCATTGCATACTGAAATCAAGTGTTTTGTAGTGCGCGGACCGACGCGATCCGACTGCTCTGGACACGGCATCGGGTGGTGGCCACCGCGCCGAAACTAATTCCTACCTAGCGTGGCATGTGCCGCAAACAAATCAGGATTCGACGATTGCCATGGCACAGCGCGACGAGGCGACCGACGAGGCCATGGGCGACTGCGAGATGGCGGGAGCGATGGCCGACGAGGCTATGGCGTATGCGTGGTTCGAGCACACGAGCGCGATGGCGCCGACGCCCATGTACAGCATCACTGCGCCGTTCCGCTCCCAGTTCACGCGGGGCGTCAAGGTCTCGCCGGACGGGCTCTGCCTCCTGAGCAACGCCGACGACAACGTACTTCGGCTCTTTGACGTCAACCCCGAGATGCCGGACGCCGCCTTGGAGATGCCGGAAGGCGGCACGGTCTACGACTTTCAGTGGTACCCGTTCATGGCCTCGTCGGACCCGGCGACGTGCGTGTTTGCGACCACGTCGCACGCCCACCCCGTGCATCTCTGGGACGCGTACACGGGCGAGGTAGATGCCTATGGTCCTACGATCTCGCTCATCCCCGCTGTAGCTGCGCGCAACCTACCGCGCGTACGACCACTTGGACGAGCTCACGAGTGCATACTCGGTGGCGTTCAATGCCACTGGCGACAAGCTCTTCTGCGGCTTTGAGCGCACGATCCGGTTCTTCGACACGACGCAGCCGAGTCGCGACTTTACGACGCGCGCGCTGAGCAAGACACGCAAGTCGCGTCATGGCCAGCGGTCTCGCCTCGCCTGCCATCGATCCGGTCGCTCATGCCATGCATTAGGGGCATCATCTCGTCCATTCACTTCAACCCCGACCACTCCAAGTCCATGCTTTGGCCTCACGATGGAGGCTCATGCTGGCGACGTAGGATGTACGCGGCCGGGTCGTACAGCGGACAGACGTGCATTTACGCCGAAGACTCTGGCGAAGAATTCCTCGCGCTCGAGGTGCTCTAGTTAGTTCATCATTGGCGTGTTTAGTAGAATTGGACTAGGGCCATGACGGCCACGGCGTCACGCAGGTCCAGTTCTCGCCCGACGGCAACTTGTTGCTCACCGGCGCGCGCAAGCACGGGCTCATCCAAGTGTGGGACATTCGCAACACGATGCAAGTGCTCTACTCGCTGCCTCGGCATGCGCCGACGAACCAAGTACTTTTCCATCTCTCTCTCATGCGGCGTGTTGCTCATGGACATGGCGATGGCTAGAAGATCGCCTTTGACGTGCATTGCGGCGGCCGCTACGTGGCCACGGGCAGCGAGGTAATCGTCCCGCGACGACGGTCCACTGCATGTGCGTGCGATGCTAGGATGCCCAAGTGCTCCTGTACGACCTTACGACGGGCGCTGCTGTCAACACAATTGCAGGCTTTGCTGGTACACTATGCAGTCGGTAGGGTTGGACGTCACCGACGTGCGTAGATGCGGTCAACGGCGTGTCGTTCTTCCCCTCGGGCTCGACCGCGCAGCTCGCGTGCTGCACGGGCCAGCGCCACTACGACGTCCCCAAGGACATGCGCGACGACGATGACGACGACGACGCGACCGAGCGAAGGACGGCGGCGACCAATGGCATTCACTTGTACGAGTTCCAAGCCACCGTGCAACAATATGGTTCCTTTAACTACCGTCGGCGGTTCATACCGCCGTAGCCTTGGACCTGGGGCTTGGGCGCGTTCGGGTCGCGCGGCTTGGTCGGGTAGACCTCGGTCGTCGTCGGCTCGTATCGCCCGCGCCAGCCGGTTTCGCTCGGCATGATAAAGTCGGCTTCGTTCTCGATGCCCTCGAGCTGCATGCGCCGACGCTTCTCGCGGACCTCTTCTTCGTGCCGGGCTTGGCGCTTGGCCTTGACCTCTTCGAGGTATGCCATCTGCTTGGCTTCGATCTCTTCTTGGTCGCGCACGCGCTTCTTGGCCTTCTTCTTGTCCTTCTTGAGCTTCTTCTTCTCCTCCTTGGAGCGCTTGACCTTGAAGACGTCGACGCCCTTGTGAATATCAAACTTGGTCGCGAGCTCCTTGTCCTTGTACGCATGCCCCGCCTGCCCGCGGAGCTCATCGATCGCTGCGTCGAGCTCGTCGTCGTCTTCGACGCCGTCTTCCTTGTCGCGGAGCTCTTTTGGGAGCTTGTACTTGTGCACATGGTCCACGCGGAGGAGGCGCTCGAGGAGCGACGAGCCGTTGAAGTTGTCAACCGCCAGCACCGTGGACCGGTGGTCTTCGTACTTGAGGAAGGCGAAGCCCATGGACTTGCCCGTGTCCTTGTCGCGCACGAGGTTGATGTCTTCAATCTCGCCGACTTGGCTAAAGACGCAGAGCACGTCGCCCTCCGTGAGCTCGTACGAGAGGCCGCCGACGTAGACCCACGCCGACTCGCGGTAGATGTGGTGCCACGAGCCTTCGTAGCTCACGCCCTGGTCGAGCTCCTGCTGGTTCAAGCGCTCGATCTCCTTGATCACGTTCATGGCCCGCCGCTCGTTCACGCCCAGTCTCCGGATGCGATACCTGCCGGCGGATTCGGCACCGCTCGCTTTCAAGCGGCATATGCCGATTATAATATGCCACCTTTTGCACGCCGTGTACTCCCTTTTACGCCTAAAAGAGTGGGTGAGGGCATGCGGCTTCTTCATCTACATATACAGACGGCAGGCAGAGGCCCATGAGGATGCTAATACATGCCGCGGGACGAAGCTGGGGCACCAGCATCCATGGCCTGCTTGCTCGGTGGCATATGCCGCTTTTCGACTTTACGCGTGGCATGTGCCGAAAACGCCGAATCTATGAAAGCAACAGCCTTCGTGTTCCTTCAGGAGGCGGCGTATTTTTAATAAAATAAATTGGACGAAGCCCACAGTATCGGATCGCGACTGACGATGACGACGGCAACCTTGGCGAGCCCGACCGCGCTGGCGCAGCATGTCACGGCGCAGCTGGCAGATGCATCTGCTGTGGACGTGCTGCCGCCTGGCTGGCTCCAGCGCTTTGTCGATGAAGGCTTCAAGCCGGCATCGCTACCGGCGTACTTCGAGGCGAGCCTGCTCGCGGCCGTGCATGCATCGGGCGCGACGCAGTACGACAGCGCCGAGACGTACCTCCATGACCTCCACGACGCCCATGCCAAGACTGTACCAAAGCGCGTGTGTGGCTACATGTTCAAGCACAACGACATTGCATGGAACTGCCGCGACTGTCAAATGGACGACACCTGCGTGCTGTGCCAGACGTGCTTCCAGCGCTCCGACCACACAGGGCACCAAGTCTTCTTCCATCGAACGTCGCCCGGCGGTATGTGCGACTGCGGTGACGAAGAGGCGTGGAAGCCATCCGGCTTTTGCCCGCAGCATCAGGGACATGCCACCGGGACCGACTTGCCGCCGGCGCTGCCGAGCGCGATCGCGCGCGTCGTGCAGGCGCTTGCGTCCGAGGTCGTCGGGCTTCTCACGCTTGTCGCGCATCGCTCGGTCGCGTCCTTTGACGACGAGCTCGTCGCGCACGCTGCCGAAGCGACGCGGCAACAGCACTTGCGTCAGTTCCCGACCGACCTCCGGCCCAAACTCTTCCACGTCCGTGTCTCCAACGACGACGTGCACACGGACGAGGAGCTCATCGTGTCGCTGCAGAAGAAGGGCTTCACGGCGGTCTTTGCCCAGACGTTTACACACAGCGTCGACAAGGCGGGCGCGGGCTCCCTCCGCCGACACGAGACCTTTGCCGACGCGCTCGCGCTCATGCGCGTCCTTCTCGCCGAGAACTGGTTTGTCTCGATCGTCGACGACGTGCACGAAGCGCTCGAAGAGGTGGCCACGGCTGCGCTCGGGACTCTCTTGTCGCTCACGGCGGTGTCGCCCTCGGTGCTCCATACGCTCTTGCTCGCTCTCTTCGCACCGGTGCAAGCGAATTACGCCGACAGCCACGACGACTACCGGCCGATCCGCGTGCTGCTGCAAGCCACGCCGTTCTTGAAGAAGCCGCTCATGCGCCATTTGAGCCTCCTCTACCTCAAGCTCATGGGCGACCGCGACCGCAAGCTCGAGTTTGCGCTGGTGTACGCGCGCGTGTATAGTAAGCTGGCGCTGCAGTACTTTTGCGGGAAAGGCACGAACAAGGAGGCGCTCTTTGGCCTCGGCGTCCAGCTCTTCACGACGCCGTCGATCGTCCATGCCCTCGTCCATGACCACGCGTTCCTCGATACGATCTTGCTGTCGCTCCAGAGCGGCTTGGAGCTGGCGCTGGACCATGCGGCGACGATGGACATGGGCCACATGGTCGTGCGCTACCGTCGGTACCAGCCGCTCATCATGGATCTCAACCATATTCTGGTCATCCCGCACATGGCGGCCGCGTTCGGATCGCATGAGACGCTTGAGACCTACGTGGCCATGCTGCGCATGCTTGGCGGCATGAACATGCAGGTGCGCGTGCCGGAAGCGCGTCATCACGTCGACCACGTCGACGACCGGGCGTGGATTGGTGCGTTCAATCTGCACTTGACGGTCGCGGCGATGCCACCGGCCCTCTTCAAGGGCCTGCGATTGCTGCCGCTGGACGTCTTTCAGAACGTGCTACAAACGCTCTTGACGACGATCCACGCGGCGCTGCCAGTGTCGACCGACGCGCACGTTGGCGGCGTCGACAGCTCGCCCGTGTCGTTCCACTACCCGCTGCATCATTTACTGAGCCGCGTGATCCTCGAACACCTCTCGCTACCCGACGTTGCGCCGCTGGACCACTTGTTGCCACCGGCCAAGGTCGCGGCGATGCTCGAGCCGCCGCTTCGGACGCTCGTCTGGGCGTCGCAGATTGCGAGCCAGCTCTGGGTCCGCAACGGCAACGACCTCATGATCCGGCAGCTCACGAGCTACTACAACATTGGGTACAACCTCTCGTTCCGGGACCTGGACGTCGCGCTCGTACAAGCCAGCGTCGTCGTGCTCGGCCATTCGTGCTTCATGTCGGCCTTTCTGCGCCAGTACGATCTGAACGGCCACTGGCTCGTCGCGGCGGGGCCGGAGAAATGCCGCTTGTATGTGGCCGACTGCCTCCTCAAGCTGCTCTGGCTCGTCACGGAGCTGCCGCCACCCGCGACGCAGCCCATCGAGGTCCTCCTGCGCCGTGAAGTCGTTCACTTTTTGAGCTACCAGCCGTTCTTGTACTCGGCGCTGCGCGAGCAAACGGAGCCGCTGTACGCACGCCCAGGCCTCGAGTCGGTCTCGGACGACGCCAAGAACAAGCAGCTCATGGCGGTGCTCCACGACGTGGCCGACATGTCGTCCACCACGCCAAACGACCTGACACCGCCCAAGTTTTCGCTCAAGCCAGCGCTCTACAGCGAGTACGACCCGTGCTTCATCCACGTGAGCCCGATGAACCACGTAAAAGCTCAAGTCGCCCGCCAAGACGCGCTTTTCAAGACCTGGACGCCGTCGAGTCCGTGCATTCCGATGGTCCAGGCGCTTCCGCCGTGCCATGCATCGATGCAGCATTGCCGGGATCTCGTCTTGTCACATGACGTTTTTGCGCTGCTCCGTCTTTGTCTCGCGGACGCGAGTGACGAGTCGGTGCTCAGCCGCCTCGTCCACGTCGTCACGGTGCAGCTTCTCGTCGTCACCGCGTCAACGGCCGACGGGGTATGGGACGAGCTCCGCTGCCCGGACAACAACCACGTGCCAAGCTCGGTCGTGGCCGAGACCGCGTCGACGGTGCGCGACTCGCTCGATGCCGCCATCAAGGCGTCTGCGATGGACGAAGGCGCGGACGTCGCCCGGAGCAGTCTTCTCGCGGCGCTGGCCGAGAAAGCAATGGCGTTCCGCGATACGCTCGAAGCGTCGACCAAGCCGCTCCTCTCGGCGCTGCTGTTTGTGCTGCAGCGCATCCAGACGCTGTGCCCACGCAGCGCGACGTTTCTTAACCGGACGGTCTTTCCGCCCGCGACGAATAGTCATGCGCCCATGGACCCCAAGGCGCGCCTCGCGCTTCAAAAGCTCAAGCAGCAGCAAGCCATGGCGGCCATGCAGGCGCGTCAGTCCCAGTTCGCCACCATGCTCGACGACGACGACAGTGGCAGTGACAAGGATGATGACGCCATGGGCCAGACGACCTCGGTCCAAGCAGCGCCCGAGTGCATCATCTGTGCCCAGGTCAAGAAGGACGAGCCGGTCATGTTTATCGGGCTCGCGCAGACCGTGCCATCGCTCACGTACAATTCCATGCTCTGTACTAACATGTCGCATACTTGATATGTGGATATGGTAGGCGCCACCGGTTCGACCCGATTGCACCCACCATTCATGTCTCGCTGTGCGGCCATGCGCTGCACCTGCCGTGCGCGCAGCAGTATCTCTCAACTGTCGCGCGCGACGTCGGCGCGTCGCTTCTGCAGCAGCACGCGATCGCGTTTGATGCAAGCATGGGCGAGTTCCTCTGTCCGCTCTGTAAAGGCCTGAGCAACTCGATCGTGCCGTTCGTGCCGCGCCCCAATACGGCGCCCACAAGCCTCGAGAGCTACTTTCAAGGCGCGATGCAGCCCGACAAAATCACCGACTTTCTGCAGTCGCACTTGCCGTCGCAGCTCGTGAGTGCGCCGCCCATGGTACGTGCAAATTCTCGTTCGGCGGCGGCATGATGGGACATTAGGAGACGGTCGCCAATGCGTTTGAAGGACTCGCTGCGTATTTACACTCGCTTCGGAACCTCCGTCCGGTCAACCTCGCCAACCCCGTCTCGATCGTCCGCATCGTGCTCGATTCGGTCAGCCAAGCGTTCGAGACAGCACAGCTCCGCGGTCTCTCCGTCGCCTTGCAGACACTGGCGTACGATGCTGACGCCTTGCCGCTGTCACTGGCGCACCGACTGGGTGTTGGCCTCCCGCTGGACGCCGAGAGCGCGCTGGACCCGTTCACGCCGCGCGACGACGCCAAGCTGCACGCGATGCTGCTGCTACTGCGCCGCCTGCCCGTGATGATGCCGGCGTCAACGTTCCACGACGTCGTGCCGACCGCCCTCGCGGCGGCGCTTTCGGGTGACGCGGAGCTCGTCACGGACGCCGCCTTTGCGACGCGGGTCGCATCCGGCATGCTGCCGTCCTTGGGCTTGCCGCTACTGAGCCACGATTTGTTTGGGTCGCTCCTACTCACGTGCTCGGTCCTCCGCGACAAGGCGGATATGCTGTGGGCGATTCGGGGCTTTGGGTGCCTCGCGATCGTCCAAGCGCTTCTGCAGTGCCTTGAGCCCGTCGACGATCTCGTCGAAGCCGACGACGGACAGACGACGACGGTGACGCCGGTGACGGCGTGGCGTCACTCCATCGCCGATGTCCTTGGCGTGTCCGTCGCACCGACCGCGCCGTCTGGCGACCTTCTGCACTTGGCCTTTGAGACGACGGTCTTGAGCTTTCTGCGCAAAGCGACGCTACTGGCCCGCGCAATCTTTCGTGGACCTGACGACGACGACGCGGGCTTGTACCTCAACTTTGTCAACCACCTGCAGCTCTCGACGTCGCTGCATGGCATGTGCCAGCAGCTCGGTGTGCCGCTGCCCGCCGATCTCTTGGCGGCAACGTCGTTCACGCACTATCTGCACGCGCAATTGAAACGCGTCACGACGGTCGTCTCGCCGCACGCGTGGAAGCACCCGAATGACGCGCCGATCGTCGACGCCACGGCGGCCAACCTCGCGGCGCTCCCGCGGCTGGCGCTGCGCCGCCATGACCGAAGTCTCTGGGCCGCCCACGTGGCCCTCACGCCTCTCGCCCGCCGGTACACCGACTTGTACGCGGTGAATGGCGCGCATCTGTGTCCGAAAACGGGGCTTCCGCAAGAGTCGACCGCGCTCTGCATGCGCTGCGGCGTCGCTGTCTGCGCCGGCACCGACTGCTGCAAGCGCAGCGGCCGCGGCGCGTGCTTCCAGCACGTCGAGCACTGCGGCCACGGCAACGGCGCCTTCTTCCTCCTCAAAGCGTGCAGCATGCTGCTGGTGAGCGTACATGGCCGCGCCTGCTTCTTCACGTCGCCGTATGTGGACGAGTTTGGCGAAGAAGACATTTACGTCAAGCGCGGGCGGCCGCTGCACCTGCGCCCGAAGCGGCTGCTCGCACTACTGCAGCACCTCTCTGGGCACTCGGTCGCACCCGAGGTGTCCAAGGTGCGCCGGACCTCCGATCAGTACATCCGCGCCTACTTTTATTAATCGAGCGGGTGTGGCATCGATCAACTTGATACAATGGAAAACAAAGCGGGTGGAAGCGGGAACGAGGAATGTATCAAGTTGAAGTGGTAGCGACGTAACCGGACGGCTGGTGCCGGTATCCGGATGGATGGCTAACTGGCGGTGACTCGACCATGGTCCGGACCAAGACGAGCGAGAAGGCCAAGGCCGCCGAGCGCAAGGCAACCAAGACGCCGCTGCACATCCCGATGGGCGGTATCGACCTGGACACGGAGGAGGTGCTGCGCGTGTATACGGCCATGGTCGAACGCCACAACCCGTACCGCACGCCCAACGTCGCCGCTGCGTTCGACGAGCCGGCCATGGCCGCCAACTACGACGTGACGCTCTATGACATCTGCCGCAAGCCGCGGCAAGTGGTCCATGGCACGTTGCAGATCGACGCGTCGTCGCTGCACGACGAGCTCCACTGCGCTATTTGCTCGGGTCGGTCCGTCTTCGTCCTTGTCGTCTTCGACGACCTCTGTTCTAGGCATCATTCGGGACGCGACGGTGATCACGGCGTGCTTGCATCGCTTCTGTAGCGGCTGCATCCAGCGACACATCCATGAGAAGGGCTTGTCGCCGGCCTGCCCCGTCTGCAACACTGTGGTCTCGACCCGGCGCGCGCTCCGCCGCGACGAGACGTTCGACCAGCTCATCCACACCATCTACGGCGACGTGGCGGCGTACGAAGAGGCCGAGGACGCGCGCATCCAGCTCAGCAACAAGCGCGCGTTCCCGCAGCTCAACTTGCACAAACAGCGGGACTTTCAGGAAAAGCAAACGCCAATTATTAACACCAAACGGGCGCGTCGCTAAGTTCGCGTCTCTTACAAGACAAAGGGCACGATGGCCTTTCGGCGAAGGCGCTTGTACTCGTCGCCGTACGTCTTGTAGTAGCCCTTGTGCTTCTGGAGCGCCCACTGCGTCATTTGGAGAAAGCCCACGAGCGTGAAGAGGTAGCCTAGCGCGGAACGTGAGCGGCTTGATACATTGATACTTTGCAATACCAAAGAAAATCTGCGTAAAGATCGAGAAACCGACCCAGCCGAGCACCTCGAACGTGTAGTTGGGGCACGAGACGAGGAGGAAGAGCGGGCCCTTCGGGATCGGGCGCTCGCTCGAGCCTTCCGCCGCGCGCATCGTGCGCAGTTGCACGTGCACGCAGAAGTTGAGGAATTCGGCGACGGCGAAGATCGCAAGGCCGAGCGTGATCTGCGACTCGGAGCTCGGGCCCGTGTAGTCAGGGTGGCACAACGGGTAGCCAATGACCGCGCCAAAGCTCCAGTAGTACATGCAGTTCTTGAAGAGGTTGAAGAGCGGCATCGTCGGGCGCGAGAAGCGGTGCACAAAGATGGTCTCGAGCTCGCGCTTCATGAAGTGGATCGTCCAGCAGACGACGCCGAGGTACGCTGTCTTGGCGAACGGCTTGGCCGCTGCGTCGGCGCCGTAGAGGAACGCCGGGCGCGTCGCGTAAAAGAACACAAACAGCATCGGGCCAAGGTACTCGAGGAGGAAGACCGTGCGGTAGCCGATCTGCGGCCCGAGGTCCTTGAAGATCAAGGTCGCGCCGTCATGGACGCCGAGCGACGCCAGCGACTGCGCGTCACCGTTCAAGTTCTACACGCCAAGTACGTTAATCTACGATGCGAAGACGACTGCAAGACCCTACCTTGAGCGTCTCGCCGACCTTGAGCTTGAAGCCTTGGCGGTGGATGTTAAGGCGCGAGCTCTTCTGGAACTTGGTCTTGAGTGAGAGGAACGAGTCGGTCTCGGCCACGTCGAGGCTGCCGTAGTCCTTGCCCTTGGCGTTCACGATCGTCACCTTCATGGTCAATCGACAACTGAGTTCTTATTCGGTGGCATCCAAGCCCACTACGTCACTTTGCCCTTTGTGTGCGGTCGCCTTTTCAACGCCATGGGATTGGCTGAAATGCATTTCAAGACGCTATTTGATTGGTCCATCTCGAGGCTGCGGCCGTTGATGCGACAAACCTCTACAACTCGATATGAACCGCGGCCATATGAAGTTGTAGAGATCCACGGCCGCCGATGAGTACGACCGAGAGCATCCTCGGCTGGGTCCAGACGGCGACGTATGCTGGCGGCGCGGCCGTCGCCGGCCTCATGATGCTGCTCTATGTCTACCAAGAGAAGCTGCTGTACCACCCGAGCGTGCCCGGCGTGCCCAAGCTGACGACCGAGAACCCCAAGGGTCGGGCGCCTCCCATCCTCATCCGCTCATGCGTGGCATGCTAGGCTACCAGCACCCGGCCGAGTATGGCATTGACGCCGAAGATGTCTACATCCCAACGAAAGATGGCATCACGATCCATGCGTGGCTGCTCAAGCAGCCAACGATGGCTACGGTGCCCACGATCCTCTTCTACCACGGCAACGCTGGCAGTAAGTCGTCGTTCTTCCTCTTCTGCCTACATTGATGGCGACTTGTGCTGGCCATAGACATTGGCTTTCGCCTCCCGAACGCTGTGCAGATGTACAAGCAGCTCGGGTGCAACATCCTGCTCGTCGACTACCGCGGGTTCGGCTTGAGCCTCGGCGACCCAACCGAGCGAGGACTCCAGCTCGACGCCGAGGTACAGTGGATCGCCGCTGCATCGCAATCCCTCGGGGCGCTTATATGATCGCATAGGCCACGCTCGACTATGTGTTGCAGCGTAAGGACATTGACCCGACCAAGCTCATCGTCTTTGGCCGGTCCCTTGGCGGCGCCGTCGCCATCTATCTCGCCGAGCATCGTGGCGAGCAGGTACTACACTCGTCTCCCAACCTATCCAAACCTATCCAAACACTATCTACATCCGCGATAGATTGCTGCGGTCATGGTCGAGAATACGTTTCTGAGTATCTCGGCGATGGTCGACTCGCTCCTGCCGTGGCTCACGTACGTCAAGCGGTTCTTGCTCGCGATCGACTGGAGCAACGAGCGCCGCATCCAGAGCCTGCCGCACCCGATCCTCTTTCTCGCAGGAGAGCACGACGAGCTCGTACCGCCTTTCCACATGCAGCGGCTTCACGACCTCGCGCGCCGCAGCCGACTGCGCAAGTGGCACCTCATCGCCCGTGGGACGCACAACGACTCGTGGGTCAAGGGCGGCAGCCTCTACTTTGAGACCATGCGCGACTTCATCATGACGGTGACCATGACGACGACGACATGCGACGCCAGCGTGGACGTGGATGGCCCCACGCATGCGATCCCCAACATGCTCGACACGCCGCTCTTCCAGCGCACGTCAACCAAGCTTAAAGACGAGTAGTTTCAAACTATCAAGTGTCAAGGCCAATGGATTTGCGCCATGTTTACGTCAGTGCGGAAAGAAAGACGTGATGCGATCTTGGCGCGACCGCTTCGTCGGGTGTGGCTTGACTTGCTGCGACGAGGCGGCGTCGTCTGCTTGAACGCTGGCACGTCGTACCAGTTGGTCTCGACGTCCTTTTGAAGAAACGCTAAAATACCACCCGACGTCGTCTTGGGCTTCTTGGCCGGCGGTGGCGTGAACAACGAGGAGCCGAGTGGCGCTGCGTAGGTGACGGGTGTCGGCGAGGCGATTACCGGACTCGGTGGGTTGTCTGGAATCACGGCCAATGCTTCTTTGGCCGATGTAAAGGTCCGGAAAGGCTGGTCATCGTCCCCCACCGTTTTCTCGGCGCCGATCAGCGTGGTCTTGTCGGTAGTCAACGTGGTTGTGGTCCGCGTGGCGATGGCGGGGGCTGTCGCGTCGACGACTTGGCGGGGCTCTTGGCAAAAAAGCTTGTGATCGACGGCGGCGTCGGGAGCTTCTGGATGCACTCGTCGCCGTCGAACGTCGGGACGCCCACTACGGTAGCATCGTTGCTGGACGCAGAAAACAAGAAACGCAGGGATACTCTGCTTGGTCACGGCGTGCCAGAGGAGGTCCGTCGGAGGTCGTGCGGCCAGCAGCGGCTGCACCACCAGGAACGGATCACTCGAGAGCCAGGCGTTCGCCTCGTCGGCCGTTGCAAGGAGCACTGGAAACCGCGCGTGAATCGCAGCAAAGGGCCCGACGGCCTCGGCCGTGACGATCGAGTACGTATATAGGACGTCGCCCGTCGCACCATCGACCCACGTGTCGTAGATGCCGGCCATCTACATCCCAGTTGTCATGCCGTTGCCTCGAGGCGCTGCGGACCCGCATGGACGAGGAGGATGCACCATGGTAGACGTAGTACGGCTGCTTCTCGGGCTTCTTCCACTCGTAAAACCTGCCGCGCGATCGAGGCTTGGCTTAAGAAATGACCATGGACGTACCCGTCGAGATGCACGACGCAGCGGCGGGCGTCGACGAGGCGGCGGTAGGCAGGCGTCTCGGTGATGCCCTCGGAGCTAGTACGAGTCCATTGCATGCGGAGTCGCTCGCGAGCTCGTACCGGGCGTTGAAGCGCATAAAGTGGTTGGGCTTCTCGTGGCTGCCCGTGTACGAAGGAATCAGGCCCCACTAGGGATGGCAATGCGTCATGGCGTGCGGCGAACGAGGTTACCTTCATGGCGCGGACCGTCACTTGCTTGGTGCGTGGGTCCACGTACTGGATCGGCGTGTACATGCCAGGCGACACGTTGTTACGTGGCGTATCTACGCGCACGCGTCACACTTCTGACGTAGCCAATGGCGCTACACTTGTCCATGGCCACGCAGGCGTCGACGGTCGTGCCGGACGCGGCGGCGACCTGCGCCGGCGCGAGTGTGCACCGGGCCCGCCCACACATGGTTTTTTGTGGCGGCCTTTTCGGCACATGCCACTTCTACCAACAGTCCTACAGTATTTTCGGCATCGATCCTCCGCTCCAAGCCACCGGTGGCTTTGGCGATTAATGGCCGTCGCGAGAATTAAGTCTCTCATGACAATAGAATCACCCGGTGATTGTTAAGGATGTAAACTTCCCGTAGTTGGCCAAGAACAACGTCAAAATGTTAGCTAGCAAAAGTTAAAAGTGCGATACTTCTCGATTTATGCGTGTCATCCTTGCGCAGGGGCCATGCTAATCTTCTCTGTATCGTTCCAATTTTTACGGATGATCCCCGAAGGGATTCCTACAATATACATAAATTCACGGTACCAATTAGTTCATTTAGTCGACACTTCGATCCTTCTTCTGGACACTATTTTCTACATTATTTGAAAATGGTAATATTTCAATATTTTTTTGGATCGGCAATGCTCCTAGCTCAGGGACGCTTCGGCCCCGCCGCCCTGGATACAGCTCCCAAAAAAGCCAAGAAGGAAGAAGGATGCACAGCGTTTGGCTCCGGAATGCAGAGGTGCCTCCAAGGGATGAGAACCATTTTATATTCCCCCAAGGTCCGCCAAAGCCGACTCTCATCTCTCTTGACCTTCGCCGCTGCATATACATACACGGAGGTTTGGAGGCTCGGAGGAGTTCGGATCACATGAAATGGTAGGTTTGTTGAATGGATTACAATACGAGAATGCAGCTTAGAGCCGCGCTCTTCACAAGCCCTTGAGCGCAGCCTGGCCCGCGACGCGGCCAAACACGACGCACTCGGCGAGCGAGTTGCCACCGAGGCGGTTCTGGCCATGCAGGCCGCCCGAGACTTCGCCGGCCGCGAAGAGACCTTCAACGACGTTGCCTTCGGGCGTCACGACCTGCGTGTCCTCGTTGATCTGCACACCGCCTACACACATACCATATCTCATCCTCCATCCTGCCATCTTGGCCACGGCGTCGTACCCATGCAGTAATGCACGACAGGCTCAATCTCGAGCACGTAGTTGTCCGTCGGCACCTCGCTCGGCGCGTTCGGGAAGACGGTCTTGCCAAAGGCATCGCTACAGCAGACTCCATCAATACCCACGCAAGAGACACAGCGACGTACGGGCCAAGCGTGGCGGCGGCCGCGACGTAGTGCTCCAGCTCGCCGTAGAGCACGCTCTCTTCGACGCCCATGTGCGACGCGAGGTCTCCGAGGCTCGTCATGTGCGAGACGAGGCCGATCTTTTGGTAGAAGAAGAGGCCAAGCGCACCCGTGGCGGCCGTGACCGCCTCGGTGATGGGCAGCACCAAGAACGACCGCTTATGCGGCTGCTCGAGGATCGCCTCCGAGACGACCTTGCGCGTCGCGAGCTCGTTCACGAAGCGGCGACCGTCCGTGTTGAAGAGGAGACCACCGGCGCCACGGAGCGCTTCCGGCGCCAAGAAGCGGGTGCTACCATCGACATAAGAAATGGGATAAGAATGATGACACATAGTAAGGAGCGTCGTACCGCTTCGTGCGGTCCTTGGGGTCGATGAAGCCCGTCGGGTGCAGCTGGACCTTGTCCGTGTGGATGAGCGCAGCGCCGAGGTCGGTCGCGAGCGCGAGGCCGTCGCCGGTCGCCCATGCACCGTTCGTGGTCGCAAACTCCTCCATGCCGGGCGCGAGCTGCTTGAGGAGCGTCGGGTTGGCCGAGTAGCCGCCTACATGTTCCCTTCAATGCCACGCAGCATGCGTCACAACGTACCGGTCGCGAGGATGACGCGGCGTGTCGCGATCGTAAAGCTGGTCTCGGGCGTGACCGTGAACGTGACGCCCGTGACGGCGTGCGTGTCATCGTCCTTGGCGAGCGCCGTGACGTGGGCATGGTTGATGACGTCGATCGAGTCGATGGCCTCGATGGCCTTCTTGAGCGCGAGGATGATGTGCGTGCCAACGTTCGGGCCCGATTGGTTGCGGCGCGTGCGCTCGGCGCTATGGCCGCCGAGCTGGCAGAGCACCGAGAGGTCGACGCCCTTGGCCTTGAGGAACTCGAGGCCGTCCAAGCTCGCCGTCGAGAGCTTGGTGACGAGCTCGACGTTGGAGAAGCCGCCGCCCGAGCGCACCGTGTCGTCCGTGTACAGCGCCACGTCGTCTTCGTCGCGCGCCGCGTTGATGCCGGACGAGGCTTTCGCCGAGTTGCCGCCGAGGCGGTCCTCCTTCTCGAGGAGCACAATGTGCGTGTCGGGGCGGAGCGCAATGGCCTCGAGCGCCGCCGACATACCTAACGACGTAGGATGACACCTCGTACTAGCATGGATGCAGTGCAGTACCGGCGAGGCCGGCGCCGACAATCACGATGTCGGCCGACGTCGGGTATGTCGGCAGCTCGGCGGCGTCCTGGGAGTAGAGGTAGGCGACCATGAGGATGGCTTGGGCTGTGGCGACAGCGAGGAAAGATCGAAAGTGCGACGTGATGATGCAAGTCGCCGAGCGGCCAAGGCGAAGGGTAGTAGTGACGCCACTCCCACGCCGCCGCTGGGCCGGCTCCGTTAAGAGACACGCGCTCGACAAAGACACGCAGCGACGGTTGAAGCTCGGTCGTCCGGATACGGGACCTGGGAGCGGCAACGTGGCAGCGCGGCAGGCCGGGGGACGGCGGGGCCGCCGCCCATCGAGGGTTCCTGGCACGTGCGTGGTGAGCGCGGCGCGAAGGGCGTGGCGGAGCGTGTGACTCGCGCGGAGCAGGCCCATTGTCGTGGGCATGGCAGCGATGAGGCGTCGAGGAGAATGATGACGGCGACAATCGACTTGGGTGAATAAGACTTTGTGGTGGTGCACCACAGATTGTTAACGTCGTCTCTCATGCGAGACGACGGAGACGCAATGGATTTCGGCGACGATGATAGATGCAGCATGAGAGCACCTTGAGGCGCAGAGCTTGTATTGCCATGAGCAGGAGTTAGGTCGTCTACCTATCCTCGGGAGATGCAACGGCCGTTCGCGGCGGTACCACGGCAAGGCCGCTGGGCACAGAGACAGGGCGACGTTGCGCGGCCATGCGACGCGACGAAGGCTGGTGATTGCGGTGCATTATTGCCACAGTAGCGAGCGACGTGCCATCGGAATGCCATGAAGACGCTCCTGCGCATGAGCTCGAGCGTCCATATTGCTTCCATGTACCGTACTGTACCGATGACGGCCTTGCTTGCAAGACGAGGTGATGCATGCGCTGAGCCTCCTAGCCGGTATGGGGCGTCTTGCATGACCGAGCTCTCGGCGTTATAAGCACGCCTGCCGCTGCCACGAACCATGTCGTCAGCCGTGCCGCGAACCGCTGTCCTCGATCCCGCTCGAATGATATCCAGCAGCCAGCAGCGATCAACGATTGTCCTACAGCTAGTAAGCTGAGCCTTACCAGCACTGGATTCTGCGCTTCAAGCTTGATCTTGGTGGTTCGGCGGAAGGGTGGGTGGGCGGCGAAAAGTCATCGACGCCAGCGTCGACCGCGGGGCGCCGAGGACCTCGAGACCGGGTACCCCTCGAGACCTCGGGCGCACGTTCTACCGCCCATGCCACTCCGTGACTCTCCACGATGCGCAGACCATAGATCCTATTGCAAGGCTTGCAGCTCGCAAGTGCTGTGGCATGACCTGGCAAGCGGAGCGGGAGGACTCGGCGCGGGTCCGTGCTTGAAGTCGGCGGCCCGCTGGACCAGATCTGGTCAACTTCAACCGAAGACCGAGCAAAACTTCGCCCTCCATACAAACCGCTAGATCGTTTCTTACTGCGAGCTTCGAAGTTTGGATTTCAACCGAAGCGGGCAACGTTTGTTGAAAGATTCAAATCCACATACAAATATCAAATGTCGAGGTGTGAAAGATTTGAATTGGAGAGCGCTGAGGCTTCGAAAGATATGAACCAGATCTGAATTCGCCTCCTCCTCGCAAGCGCCCATCATGAAGCACTGCGCCGATGCTGCCAGCCTTGGGCTACCGCCCCATTCCAAGGTCATCGTCGCGACCCATCCCGTGCTCGCCCACAAGCTCACGAAGCTCCGCGATGCCAAGACCGATGCCAACCTCTTCCGCCACCTCCTGCGCGAGATCACGTTCTACCTCGGGTACGCTGCCATGCAGCGTTGCAGGAGGCACATGCATGGTCTCTGGGTAGCTATGAAGCAACATCGGACCTTGCCGTCATCCCCAAGAGCATCACGGTACCTCGCGCGCTAGCCATGGCACAGTACCTCATCACGCCACATAGACTCCGTTGGGACCGCACCAAGGCGCAGAACTCGCGTCCGTAGTCGCGCTTGTGCCGATTCTTCGCGCGGGTCTCGGCATGGTCGAACCCATGTTGGACTTGCTTCCGAACGCTCGCGTGCATCACATTGGTACGCCCTACGATACTATGGCAACCAGTGCAGTCATCTGGCGTGTAGGCATGTACCGCAACAAGAACTCGTTGCTGCCGGTCCAGTACTACAACAAGCTGCCGCACGACTGCAATGTGGACGTTGCGATTATCTTGGAGCCGGTCATCGCCACCGGTATATGACTTTCGCCGGCACGTGGCTCTGCATGGCACTCGTGTAGCTGGCACTATCATTGCGACTGTCGCTGTCTTGCACGCATGGGGCGTGAACCAGATCAAGATCATTAGTAGCATTGCCTCCAAGAATGGTGCGGTGTCTAGCCATGCCAAAGCCGTCACATACGACGACAATGGTAGGCTTGAAGGAGCTCTTCGCCAAGCATCCTGGCGTCGAAGTGATTGTGGCCGCGATCGACGAGACGCTCTCCGAGGTCGGTTCTCTTGACGTACTAGCATTCCCGTGCATCATCGTGCATCTCTCTATGTACAGGAAGGCTACATTGTCCCCGGTCTCGGCGACGCTGGCGACCGCCAATTCGACACGGTCGCGCACACGGGCTTGAAGCGCAAGCTCAACGAGTAAGACACTCCATGCGTGGTGTCGTATTCACAATACACAATCCTCTCTTCTTCGAGCTCACTTCTTCGCGAGCAGCACCTTGTTGGATGCAATCACCTTGGTGAGCACGTCATCTTGATGCGGCTGGAGCTCTTGGAATGGCCGGTCCTTGATCTCAAAGAGGAACGGGTCGACGACGACGGCGTCCTTCTCGAGGCCAAGGAGCTCTTGCACGACGGCCGCGCCGCAGAACGGCACATAGCTCTCCGAGTAGCCGCCTTCATGGACAAAGACGACGCGGCCGTCACAGAGAGTCGCCGCCGCCGTCTTGAGCTTGGCCGCCATCGCCCGGAAGGTTTCGCTGTGCGCCATCATCTGCGAGAGCGGGTCGCAGTACTCAGCGTCAAAGCCCGACGAGACGAGGATGAAGTCGGGCGCAAAGGCGTCCAGCGCCGGCAGCACGACGCGGTCGAAGGTCGCCATGTACGCGCCGTGGCCCGAGCCCGGCGGCAGCGGCACATTGATCGTGTAGCCGGCGCCCGGTCCAAACCCGGTTTCCTACAAAAAAATTTTGTTTCGTATCAAGACAACGACATGAATCATCTACCTCGATCCAGCCCGAGTTGAGCGGGTAGTTGCCGGCCTGGTGCACCGAGATGAAGAGGACGCGGTCGTCGGCTTCGAAGGACGCTTGCGTGCCATTGCCATGGTGCACGTCGTAGTCGACGATTGCAATATTCCCGATAAGGCCCGGGTACGACCGGAAGAGGTGGTAGGCGGCGACTGCGACGTTGTTGAAGATGCAAAAGCCCATGCCCTTGTCCCGGAGCGCGTGATGGCCCGGCGGCCGAACGAGCGCATACCCGGCGTCGACGTGCTTGTTCATGACGGCGTCGACAAGCGAGAGGACGCCGCCGACGGCCAGCGACGCGATCTCAAAGCCGCCGCGCGAGAACTGCGCCTCGTCGCCCGCGTCACCGCCATTGTCGAGCCGGCTCTTCTCGCGGATCGTGTCAATGTAGGCTTGGGTGTGGTTGAGGAGCAGGTCGTCGTTCGTCGCGGGGCGCGCACGGATGATGGTGAGCTTGTCGAGGAGACCGCTGACGGCGAGGAGGCCGTGGAAGCGGCGCTTCGTCTCCGGGTGCTCCCAGTGCGTGTACGGCTGCAGATGCGGCGAGTACAGATGTGGCCACGGTGCATGCCACATGAAGAGTTCTTCGCACACGTAGCCGACGCGGCCCATGGCGCTGCCGTTGAGCGGTACGATGATCGACGGCACCGGCGGCAGCGGCGGTGCCACGGCCTTGAGCATGGTGGTCGGCAGCGGCAGCGCCTTGTGGCCCTCAAAGAACTGCTGCTTGCCTTCGATGGACGCGGCCTGGTACTGCTTCCAGATCTCTGCGTGCTGCGTTTCGTGGTGCTTGCGGTAGTTCTCGGGCCGGAACGGGATCGCAAACGTCTTGTGGTTGGACGTCTTCTTGCGCTTCCGCGTCTCGGCGTCAATGTCTTCACGCCCAAAGTGCGTACAGAACTGGCAGCGCACGCAGGACACGTCGTTCTTCTCGTTGTAGTCCTCGATCTTGAGCCCATACTCGAGCAGGTGCTTGGGCTGGAACGGCGTCAGGCGCGGCTTCTTCGCCGGCCCGGGCCCATCGCCGCCACTCTCCGACATTGTGGTGCTTCCGGCCTTCCAATTAGACTGGCCGAAACCGGATAGCGCCACAAGGACGCGTTTAAACGTGGTTTAACAACACGTTGAACAACGTGGTTGATTAGGTGTGTCGCACAAAGACTGCCTTTTTTTGCGACTCGAGTGCGTGTGTGTGCAACTGAGAGGACCACACGCTAGAAAGACGGCAGTTGGGACCATGCGAGCCACTGCCTCGACCTTCTCTGCCATCCCACCACGTCGTGCCCAAGAAGAGCAGGATGCTTTAGGAGACTGGGTCATCATTGCACGAGCTCCTGCGTCCAGTAGATCGGTCATAACGCAGCAGTCCTTGCATATCTACTACGTATCAGTGTTTCAACTCGATTCTGGTGATGTGTGATGGCAGTGTTGTGCGCGCTTTTCACGAGGCGTCGACTTTAACGCGTTTTATCAACTGTTTAAACGCAAATAACCTACCGTATGCACCTGTGGAATCGCATCCGGATACCATATCGAGTTTGACAAGTCGGATCATTTTGCGCGGGATGGACCCGTGGAAGGAGTACGTCGGCGCGCTCGCGCGGGCAGAGGAAGCGGCCGGGAAGGAGGCGAAGAGCTGCATGGAGGATGAGCTCGGGAAGCTCATGGACAAGGAGAACAACCTGCTCGCGCTCCTGCATGAGATGGACGCGCTGGGCGACCGCGACGACGATGGCGTCCGCGCGCTGCGCAAGATCCATCGCCACGAGCTCTGTACGGAGACGTGCCATCGAACGAGGTGCATCATGGCCGTGCTCCGTAGGCAAGGTCCGCTCCGACATCGAGCGCATGGGCGCGCCGAAGAAGCCCCTCGTGGACTACGTCGTCGGCCATGGCCAGCGCTTCTTGACGATGGATGACATTACGGACGAGTGGGCGACCTGGTTCAAGCCTCCGCCAAAGGAAGATCCACCTGCGCCCAAGCGCTTCATACCGATGGTCAAGCCGCCCAGTTCCGTCGCTGTCGTTCCAGTGCAACCGCCACCGGTCAACCGCCCGTCGCTTCGAGACCTTGGACCCAAGCCGTCGGTCGAGGACGAAGAGACATACCCCCAGCGCCGGGGACTGCGACCACCTCCTCGGGACCAAGCACCGCCCCGCGGAAGCAACGCTTTCATCACGGCAGGAGAGAAGCTGCAGGTAGCGCTGCATCGACGACGACCTATCTCGGAGCATATGGCTGTAGACGGACGAGCGGGATGGCAACACCAAGGACCAAAATCGCCGCCAGCACGGAACCAGCAGCGGTGGCATCAAGGGCTACCACCCCATGAACCCCAAAGTCCTCTTTCCCAAGAGCAATGGTGAGGCGTCGCCACCGCGCATTAGCAAGCCGTTCCAGCCGCCGGATGGCAGTCGTCCGCGAGGTGCGCTCGGCCAGTGGCAAGGGCCTTATGCATTTGCTCACAGGCGCGCATGCGACCAATACTGGCGCTTCGGCAGCGCCCGTCGAGCCGGAAGAAGACATTGATCCGCGCCTTAAGAGCTGCGACCCCGAACTCATCTCCAAGATCGAGCTCGAGATCGTCGATGCGGGCGATCCGATCTCGTTCGATGACATTGGTGCGTCATGCTCAAAGGCACTCCATTCATAAGCTCTGTAGCGGGTCTCCATTTTGCCAAGAAATGCGTCAACGAGCTCGTGATTTGGCCAATGGCACGACCTGATATCTTTACGGGTCTCCGCAGCTTGCCCAAAGGTATCAAGTGTCAAGTTGTGAACGCGACGAGGCTCACATGCGGTAGGCTTGCTCCTCTTCGGCCCGCCCGGAACAGGCAAAACGTTGATCGGAAAGGCGATCGCGACGCAGTCGGGCGCAACGTTCTTTAGCATCTCCGCAAGCTCGCTTACGAGCAAATGGGTATTCCTACGACCATCCACGATACCATCCCTCCAAGCCCTTTCCTCGTGGTGCTAGATTGGCGAAGGCGAAAAGCTCGTGCGCACCTTGTTTGCGGTCGCGGCCGTCAAGCAGGTTGGTTCTCGTCGCGCCATTGTGGCCCTAACCGGCCGCGTGTTGTAGCCGTCCGTCATCTTTATCGACGAGATCGACTCGCTCTTGACCCAGCGCAGGTTCGCCATGATGTGCTTACAAATGGGTGATATTGCTTGGTCAGTTCGACGGAGAACGAAGCGTCTCGGCGCATGAAGACAGAGTTTCTCGTCCAGCTGGACGGCGCAGGCACCAAGTCCAAGGACATTATCCTCGTTGTCGGTACGTCGTTGCCGCCAAAGCCGTGCAGCATGCCTACCCTGCAGGCGCGACGAACCGTCCGCAGGAGCTTGACGAAGCTGCCCGACGGCGCTTTGTCAAGCGTCTCTACATTCCATTACCCTCGGCGGAAGCCCGTCTCGACATGGTTCTCCGCCTCCTCGCCAAGAACAAGCACCGTCTGGAACAAGTCGATATGGATTACATCGTCGAACGCACGCGTGGTACTTCACAGATTCGCCTGCGACAAGCTCCTATCGTGCCACGTGTAGGCTTCTCGGGCGCCGACGTCCGGGCGCTGTGCACGGAAGCAGGTACACCTTCCTCTTGCTCCGCGTTGTAGTAGTCTCACTGTACGGTACGACTAGCCATGGGTCCCATTCGCAACTGTGATGATATCCGCACCATGGACGCGGCGCTGGTGCGGCCGATCGAGCGCCATGACTTTGACGCGGCGCTGCGGGGCGTACGCCTCCATCTTCGGACCGAGTCATGAGGCTAAGCAAATGGCTAGGTGCGGCCGAGCGTCTCGGGGAAGGACCTCGAATTCTACTTGGAGTGGAATGCCGAGTTTGGGAGTTACCAGATCGAAGACACGACCAGCGACGTCAACTAACGTTCCATGCGACCTCTATCTGTTTAGTTAGTCGTCGAGTTAGTCACTAGGACTGATGTGTGACACGCCATTTATCGAAGGCGACCAGACGAGCTCAAATTTTGAGGCTTGCAAACCGTAAGCAAAGATAGATACTCGCACTGCCGTCGGTAACCGCCGCTTCTCCCGCGTCGGATCTATCTATCCAGAGGATAGTCCACGCGGCCGGTCTTGCCTCGACGCCTATGTAAAAGGTATGGTGGCCAAATACGTCTACTATCCAACGCCTCGTGGATCGTGGCGAGGTACTATCCAGTGGATGCGGTGCGCGCTGGCGGTTTCGCGTTGAGTTTCAGCACGCCGCAAGAACGATTTTGATTGGACAAAAAGAAGATCCTTCGATAAAACAGCGTGTACTTGCGTTTTGTATACCGCGCCGATTCATTCTGGATTTTGCGAAGACGCGGACGAGGATGGCCGCGCCGACGAGCAGCAGCAAGTATGGCAACCTCTCCATGCGCAACATCATGATCCGCAAGAAGCTCGAGGAGCGCAAGCGCTTCGACTCGGCCGACTACGCCATGCAGAAGGCCGGCAAGCCCGCGCTCGAGATCGCGACCGCCATCGAGAGCCCGCGGGCGGCCGACGTGCTCTCGCCGGCGCACCTTGGCATGGTGGCGTTCCGCAACAGCATGGTGGACACGGACATGACAGCCGAGCCGAGCATGACGCTGTCGCCGGCGAGGTGACAAACAAGTGTGGCCAAGGATGTCCCGTCCAAGTACGGCGCGCTCACGGCGCGCAACATCATCTTGCGGCGAAAGCTCACGGACCGCACCAAGTTTGACTCGGCCGACTACCAGCTCAAGAAGCTCGGCGTCACGTCGGACGTGATCGGCGCGGACCAGGTCGATGTCGATATGACAGCAGGCAACGACGACCAAGACGTCGACATGGGCAGCGGCGCGACCATGTCGCCACGCGTGACGATGGCCAAGCCCCAGTCGCCGCGCCCTATGTCGCCCGCAATGCCAACGAGCCCCTCTAACAAGTATGGCAAGATGTGCGCGGCCAACATTTTGATCCGGAAGAAGCTCAAGGAGCGGAAACGCTTCGACTCGGCCGACTACTCGATGGAGCGCCAAGGCAAGAAGAAGGCGTCGATGGAAGACGCGACCCCTGTACCGTACCTCCAGGCAACGTCCATGGAGACCTCCGACTCGGACGTGCACTCGCCCGTGACCAAGCAAATGAAGCTCACGTCGATCGACGCGCCCCGATCGACAGCCGGACCGACCTGTATTCGACCGCGAGCCGGGTCGCGGGCCGGAATATCTTTTTACAGCGAAAGCTGCCCGACCACTTCAAGCCGTCGTTTTAAGTCGACCGCCCACTACGTCTGTACAAGCCCGCGTAACTAACCCACATACAAACTGTCCTTTTGATTTTGCCCTTGGCTTGCCATGTATACCACGTCAACCTCGCCATGGAGGAGCATGTTGTTGAAGATGATGGCCCGGGACAGGCGCATTTCTCGCGCTTCTATATTTGCAGCCCCGTCAAGAAGCCATGCGTGATCCTACGGAGTGATCGCTAGTCCGAGCATGAGCCCTGACGTAAGCGCCGATGTCATCGTGCGCATACCATGATGGTCGCTTGGCGTCGTCGAGTCCACCTCGCTGTAGTATGAGCCGCTCTGCCATCGCATGCCGGTCGCCTTTCACCGGGAAGCTCTGCTCTCCACAAGAATCGTTTTACATGGACTTAAATACACACATGCCATGCCACTAGCTCGTCGCCAGCGACTTGGTCTTCTTCCAGACGCGGATCGGTCGCGGCTTGATGGACGGGAGCGAGAAGCGTCGAGTTACCAGCGGGCGCTTCCGCGGCTCAATGTCGCACATTTCAATCGTTCCCAAGAGGGCAGCGAGCTCGCAGATCAAGTCGTTGGTCGTGACCGGGCTCGCGTCAAAGACCTTTCGCCGCCAGTGGTGGATGGCATTGCGCCACGCGAGGAGCGACGCGAGCGACGGCGCCGCGAAGCGCAGGGACACGACCAGCTTGTGCTTGCGGTGCAGCTCGATGCAGAACTGGTGCGGCAGCACGCGCGCCTTGCACGTCACGAGCGCCGTCGCCGCATGCACGGTCTCGAGGTCGTAGCTCGCGAGGAGCGTCGTCCGCGCGGCCGAGTAGAGATGCAGCTGGCCCTCCTCGAGCACGAGGCAGCGGATGTCACCGATGGCTTCGTTGCGCGAGTCCACGTGCAGCAAGAGACCTTCCATGCTCGAAGCGGATGGGCACGAAATCCAGACTGGGAGAGCGCAAGGTTTCGGCTTGGGTGTCAATCTTCCGTCAGCGCAGCGCAGAAACGCGATATTTAAAGGAGTGGACCGGGATCTAGACCGATTTAAACGATCCCATAGCGTTGCAAGCAAGGAATCGATCTGCTTCCAGCGAAATGGCAGAGCGGTTTTCAATATTCAGCGGAGAGGAAGAAGTCGCAGAGGAAGGAGCGTCTCCGCCAACGCCCGGCGGAAGATGCTCGGCAGGCGTAGGCGACGGCCGCGCGATCGAACCTTGTCGCCAGCCTGCGCCACGCCAAAGATACTACGAGGGACGTATCCAATATAAATCAGTCCTGGTCGCCAAGGATAAAAACACGCGTCTTAAAATGACCTGAGCTTTGCCGCCGTCGATAGCCCGCTCTTCAAGGGCATCGTGCACGACCCATGCACTCGACGCTGCCTATTGTACAGGCGACCTTTCATAAACTAGCCCTTTACGTCCTTTGCGGCAGCCTGACGGGCGCTTGTTGAAAAACCATTGGGTGTTTTTAGTCCACCGCCACCTTGTGGTGGCCACGCACCACGCAAAACCATGTTGGCAGCCGCCGGTCGCCAGACGCTCGCGAAGCGACCATGGCTCTACTTTGTGACGCCGAGCCTCTCGTCGACAGACGCGATCCTTCCGCTCGTGGCCAAGGCCATCAAGGGCGGCGCCAACATCATCCAGCTCCGCAACAAGACGTGGCCCGCAGAGGCGCCCGAGCTCTTGGCGATGGCGACCGCCTTGCGTGATCTCACGCGCGCGCACGACGTCCCGTTCCTCGTCAACGACCACGTGGCGCTCGCACTCGAGGTCGGCGCTGACGGCGCGCATATTGGCCAAGAAGATACGTCGGTTGCCGATGCCAAGGCGCTGCTCGCGGCAGCCGACGCGCGTGACTTTATCCTCGGCGTCACGGTGCGCGATGCCACCCAAGCCACCATCGCTTGCCAAGGTAATGCTTCTTGCTGTGCATGATACTCTGCGACTACGATGTGCTCATGATGCTACTACTTGTAGCCGGTGCGTCGTACTTGGGCGTCGGACCTGTCTACTCGTCGAGCACCAAGGCCCACGCCAACAACGGCGAGACCATTGGCATCCGCGGCCTCGAGAGCGTTGTCGAGACGGCCCGCGCCTTTCACGTACCCGTCGTCGCTATCGGCGGTATTGACGCAAGCCGGGTACAAGGCTGCATGCAGGCCGGCACCGCCGGTGTCGCCGTCGTCGCCGCCATCAGCAGCGCCGCCGACGTCACAAGTGCATCTACCGCCCTCTACCGCAACGTCGCATTGTACCACCGCGCGTTGGTCTAAGCTGAAGCACATCGCTCATAGAGAAGATACACGTGCGTCGTTGCAGCTGTCTTAGGGGCAAACCGGATACGAGCAGTTGAGCGATGGCTCTTGCTGCAGCCACTTGGTGCGGCCCGACGGCAGCGTGCAGCGCTTGACGACCGAGCTGCACGTGCGCTGGCGCGTCGGGCACGGATCAAAGGCGCAGTTGCGGGCCGCGTTGCGGGCCACGACCATACCGTTGGCGCAGACCGACGTCTCGTTCGTGCACTGGATGCCATGTCAAAACAAATCCTGTTTCTTCCAGTGGATGGGACCTCGTACCGCGTTCGGGCACGGGTCAAAGGCGCAGTTGCGGGCCACGTTGCGGACGACGCGGCCGCCAAGAAGACAAGCCTGTGTGTCGTTCGCGCACGTCTAGAGACCTTCGTGTGAGCGAGTTGAAGGAACGGCGTTGATGGCACCGAAAGGGGGCAGGCTCGAAACGTGCAGTTGGCCGCCGGATCCCGCTCGAGCACTGCGCCGGTCGGACAGACGAGCTGCGCTGGCAACTCGGTGCAGACGCTCTACGCCGCTTCTATACCGACGCGGATGGGAATGGAATGGTGTAGTACCGGCGGGCGGTCGGCCGACGTCACGTCGCATCGGAGGTGCGTGCAGTTGTTCGCTGGGTCGCGGCCAACGACGACGCCGTTCGGGCACTTGTAGCCGTCGTCCGCGCAGCCGTCCGTGGCATTGGGGCAGGGACGAAAGGAGCAGTTGCGGCCTGCGTCGCGCGTCACCGTCGAGCCGTCGAGGCAGAGGCGCAGGTCCTCGTAGCAGCCGCGCACGGCGACGACCAGCGCGAGGAGGACGAGGCGCATGGTTCGCCGATCGCAATCTTCGCGTTCGTCGGTTGCAATAGGGATATTAAATCTTATAGTAAATCTTAGGCCTGAAACTTCTGAAGCGTTTTCTCGGCCAGCGCACGGAGCGGCTCGGACGTGAGCACGCGGACGAGTTGGGAGAGCATCGGCAGCACGACCGCCTTGTCCTGGGCCAAGATGGGCGGGCCCGCGAGCAGCAGCTGCAGCAGGAGCGTGACGCACCGGGCCTCGGTCTCGACAGTGGGCGGCCGGCACCACTCGACGAACAGCGGGATCTTCTTCTGGTACGCGTCGCAGAGCAACTTGAGGTCGCTGTCGCTAAGGCCTCTGGCCTCGAAGGACCGCTCGATGGTATAGACGATGCGCGCCTTGTCGGTGGGCTAGAAGCATTGCCATGAGACCTCGGCAGCCGAGAGCGAGCGTACGAGCAGCGTCGCCTTGTGCGTGGCCCCGAGCTCGAGCAGGTGGGACAGCGACGCCGGCAAGCACGAGCCATCCTCCGCGACCGACTCGTCGATAAAGTCGAGGACGACCTTGGAGAACTGGCGGTCGTCCAGCATGACGTCGGGCAGAAGCTGCTCTTCGTACGCAGCCTTGTTGAGCGCTTTGGCACTCTACATGCTGCTGAGCGCGCAGCGATGCATGGCCTCGTACCTCCTGCGTGTAGGGATGCGTCCCGAAGACGTCGATATGCGCTTCCACGAGCTTGTAGTGGTCCGCGGCCATGTCCTGGAACGCGCGGTGATGGACCGAGAGGAGCTCCTCGAGGATCTCCTTGCACGTGGCGTCCATGCTTCCGCGCTGGCAAGCTGCGTTTTATGGGCCCTCCACCTCGCTTCATTCAATCCGTGTATGCAACGTCCCACAAATGGGTACGGGGCCCCTCGTTTCGCTGGCGTCGACGGTAATTTTGGAAGAAAACACCGTCTATTTGCGATATGTGTACCGTACATCATGGGAGATTTACGGTGGCTCGGATCGTTCCGTCGACGGGAAAGCAATGGCAGAAGCTGCTCTAGAGCGTTGTCGAGGCAACCGAACTTCGCCTGGGCGCTTCCTGGGCCCTGCGACGGTTCTTGACGGCGTTGACGAGCAAGGAGTAATGAACCCAGCGTTGAACCTCACGCCAACGCCGAGACCTTTGCCTACGCTGGGGTTGCTATGGGAGCTAGCACTTGGTCGTTGGGAGTGAACTGCGTACGGTAGAGTTGCTCCATAGACACCGCGGTGGACCTCACTCGGCGAAAATAGCTCGCACCTGCTACTATACCGCTGCGAAAACAGTAAGAGGACCCCTCCAACGACGAACGCACGCCATTGATATCTGAGGCGTCGCCGGGCCTTGCTTGCCTTCTTGCCTCAGCTCAAAAGCGACGACGCTGGACTTCCGACGCTGGGTGCAACGGCACCCAAGGGTCAAAATGCTTCCGCTGCAAGGACGAGACCAAGGTATAGCTCTTGGATGTAGGAGTTGGTCGATGACCAGAGATAACGCAAGATCTTAGTGACGTCCTTCAATACTGCACTGGAATGCATCGGTAGCCAGGAGATGGGGATCGCAGAAGTTATTTCCGGAACGACCCCGCCCTCCGCGCGTTTGATTGGTGCATATGCACCAATCCCGCCTCGCGTTTCAATTTTCGACCAATCGAATCGCATGTATCTTTGGGCGGACCAATCGCAGTAGAAGAAGCAACTTCCTTGGACCTGCCAAAGAAGTTGCTTCTTCGCAGCGCGTCATGCCCGTCCGTCATCATCTCATTTCCTATTGCTACAGATGCAGACGACGATGGCACCAAACGACACGGCCGCACGGGGCTGCCCGTTCCGAGCCCAGCGCCTTCCGTCGCGCCACGTCATCGACGTCCCGACCACGACGCGGCTGCTCTACGAGATTGGCGGGCCTGGCCGGATCCTCGAGTTTTGCGTGGCGTTCTACCTCTTGGCCTTTGCGGACACCACGCTTCAAGCGTTTATGTATGAGAACGACGGCGCGGTCGCCCACGGCGAGCGGCTCTCGCAATGGATCGTGGCCCAGATGCAAGGTACTGGCGGCGGCGGGTGCCAGCACGCGTGGGCCGCCGCGCACCACCGCGCGCGCCACTGCGAGAAGCGACCGGCAACAGTGCGCGGTGCATGCTTCAGCGTTCGCGATGCTCGTGCGTGGATGCGGCTGCATTTCTGGGCCATGCGCGAGTGCGGCTTGGACCGGAACCACGCATTTTGGACGTGGTACGTCCAGTTTATCCACGCCAACATTGGACTGCACAACTCGTACGCCCCGGGGTACACGCACCTCGACGCGGTCTGGTCCACCGACGCGGCCAACGTCGCCGCCTACCGCGCCGCCAAATGCACCATGACCGACCTCTGCCCTAGCCTCTACTGCTAAGAACGACACGCGTCTTATTTAACTCTTTCGTCTCGAGCTACAAGTCGTCGTGCAACGCGCGCGGTCGAGAGAGGTGCAAAAAGCCGTCGTCCGTGGTCGCGTCGGTGTACACCCGGGGCACCGCGCTTTGGTCCAAGACGGGCATCCAGAGAGCCCACGCGTGCAAGATGTCTCCGACGCTCATAAAGTACCTAGACAGCGAGCTTGACGTGTCGTCGTTGTTTGGAGCAACGTCGTCGTACCGACGATCCCCGCGTAAGATCGCGTCGACCAAGAAGGTGTAAGCCGAGTCGTGGCGCGTTGACGCCGGCGCAAGCCGCATCGGCGACAACCAGACCCACCCGATCGGGAGCTTGACCTGTGGCGCAATGTCGGCACACACGTCGATGACGATGCCTTCGTCACGACCCTTCTACACGAGCCGTTCACGCACGCAGTACTCATGTTGGACGAGACCTGAAGCACGATGCGCACGATACAGTTGGGCACGTCTCGCGCGTGCCACGTCATGGTCGTCGACCGGTCGGCGACGGCCTTGGCCGCTGAAATCCCGATCGAGGTGGACGGTGCATGGGCAAAGTGGACAGCGGCCGCGGTCGCCGTCGTCGATTGCGTCATATTGGCGTGTCGCACGTACGACTCGTACTGCCCATGGACCACCTACGACCCGGGATGAGGGCAAGCGAACGCGGCGCGCCGACCTCTTGGAGCATGAGCGACTGCGTCACGGCCCGTCGGTCGTCCTACAGAATGCCCGCTTCGTTGGTCGCGATGGCATTGGCAGCAAGTAATTTACCTCGGTGGACGCCCCCGCAGCGTGCAAGAGCAGCACGGTCAAGTGGTTGACCATCACGTCGCGCACAATACCGACGCTAGCCAGCATGGAGCCTACGCCCACACAAATCTGCCGTTCATGTACCTGTTGAAAAACGCTGTGCGACCCTCACACGTCTCGGTCTCGCGCATGTGGATCTACTCGTCCCAAGTACACTAAGTAGAGTGGGCGAAAAGAAGATGTGACTACACCAAGGTGCGACGCGGCGCGAAGCGACCACCAGTGGGCGTTGGCGCTGACAAAGGCGTCGAGCCCGCGGACGCTCGCCTTGCCGAGGTAGTGGTCGATCAAAAACAGCTCTGACGCGTCAAAGTCGATGGCAAGCGCTGCTGCCAGCGCACGCGCGCTCGCCACGTCGCGACCGAATGGCTTCTCGATCACGACGCGCAGCCACGGGCGCCCGGCGTGGCACAGGTGCGCGTGGATGAACGCACACGTCTAGATCGCAATCAGCACCACAGCGCGTGCTTCTCAGCAAGATATGGTCGCACGGCTTGGAAATACGTGGGCGGGATCGCAAGGTAGACAACAAGGCCGGCGTCCTGGTGCCACTCGGGTCGGGCCGCGAGCGCCGCGTAGTCGGCGGCCGTCGACAGCTGCGCGTAGCTAGGAGACGCATTACGACGCTATCAACGAAGGCCAACGAGATAGCACTGTAGAGGAAGCGACGGCGGCCGGATCGAGGCGAGGCGCTGCGCAGCGACAGCCGGCGGGTCCGTGCCCGCCGCCCAGAGCTCGATGTCGTGGCGGGCGTGGAGAGCCTCGAACGCAGGCCAGAGGTATTTCTGCGCGAGGTTGCCCGTGCCGCCGATGACGAGGACCTGCGTGCGTGCGTCGGTGCTCGGCCAGCAGCAGCTAGCGGCGACGACGACCGCGACAAGCAGGCAGCGCATGGTTGAAGCCCTTGACGTATTCGGTATGATTTTGACCAATGGCAAGGCGGCATTTCGTCGCATACAAGATCCCATATCGTTGAAGTGGGCTGCCAGAGTGCATTAATTCGCCCATGTTCCAGCGGGACGCCGACCTCAAGCCCGGCGGGAAGGCCGCGCTCGTGGAAGCGGCGCGCTTGAAGCGCGACGAGCGTGAGAAGCGGCGCGCCATGGAGGCCCATGTCGTGCTGCTGCAGTCGCTCGCGCGGCGCTGGCTGAGCACGCGGTTGACGCTAACGACGTGCCGAGCCGATCTCGACAGGAAGCTCGCCGACGTCGCGACCTTAGAGAGCGTGCTGCAGCGCCAGATCGTGCTTCCATGTGCTGCGCTTGTGCCTATGCTCCACGCCGCCTTCTTCATCCTGCGCGCCGGGTCGATCGCCGCGCAGGATGTCCCGCGCCTCCTCGGGCTCGTGCAGCGCGTGCACACGAACTGGCGTCTTGCCGACCGGCAGTGGGCAGCGGCCTTTGCCGACGTCCCGATCGACCTCGTGCGCTACCTCGTCCTTGCATGCCTTGAGCTCGCAGTGTATCCTAGCGCAGCACCCGCGCTCGCGTTGGTCGATGACCTTCTTGGCGCCTCGGTACCTGTACTACGACCCGATACTCAACTCTGACGACGACATGCACGGGATAGATAGCGACTCGATCGGCAGCGCAGCGTGCGCTCGGCACCTTCCTCGCGCAGGGCCGCTTGCTGCGTCCTTGGGCGGCGATGCCACCACCGTACGACGACCATTTTCATCTCCTTTCCATCCAGTTGATATCTTGATACGATGCGTAGCTGGCTGGTCTACTGCGGTCCGTGGCGCTGCGCTCGGAGGTCGTCTCGACGAATCTCTCGTCGTTTGTTGCTCTCGTGCTCTTCCTCATGACCGACCTCCCCGACGCCCCGATTGCCACGCTCCTGGCCGAGGTTTCGATCCTCGATGCATTGCACTTTATTACATTTTTTGACGTGGCGTAGGTGCTGACGCTGCCAGCGCTCTCCGAGACACTGCCATCAAGCGCGGTCGCGACCCTGGTCACGCTATGGCCTCGCCTTTTAGCAGCGCCGGTGGCCGACGCCGCCGCGCTGCCGACGTCGCCGCTTCCGGGGCTCGAAAGCGCCATCTTCCTCCTCGCCAACATGCTCTGGATCGCATCCCTGTACGTACTCTGTTGGTTGTGGGTGACGCTAAAGTTGGTTTTTGAACAGCGTCAACCTCGAGGCGTCGATGCCCGCGTTCGTGCACTGGGCGTGGACCATGCTGCAGGTCGTGCCCGATGCGACCTATGGCGGCATGGCCTGGGTCCGCGTCTCGGCGTCGCACTCGGTACCGGCGCCCGTGCCACCGGCCGTGACCCGCCACCTCCAGTACCTCTACAGCCATACAATGGTAGGCCTAGGCTCCTCACGACACGAGCCCTCGCTGATCGAGATGTAATAGATGCAATCGCTGGTGCCCCGGGGCTTTCGCGTGGATGCGACCAAGATCACCAAGCCACTGACGACGACTCTACCGACGCCGATGCTGCCCAATGCGATCCTGAACGAGGTACTATCGTCCTCCTAGATAGATAGCCCAATCCTCGTTTGGAACTAGGAAAAGTTTGGCTTTGGCAACATTGCGCAGCAGTCGGGCTCGTCCATCTGGAAGCGGTTCTGGCACCAACCGCAAAAGTGGGCCACCAAGCTCTTTGGCGCGTCGTCGCGGTCCAAGGCGCCACCGAGCAGCCTTCGCAGCACCGAGAAAGGGGAAAACCTTGTGCCCACTGCGTTTGATAGCACTCTCTTCATCTCTCTCGCCAAGCTCTATGGCTTGTTTCTCTTTCGCTGGACGCCGCGGGACGCCAAGGTGCCGCATGCGCTCCTGAGTGCGCTCGCCTTCTTCAAGGCGCTAGACGGCACGTCGCTCGTCACCACCTTGTGGCTCTATCTGCAAGAATCGCTCGACCTCGCAGCCTACGCCGAGGTATTCATCGCGTCTCGATGATGGTATCTGAGGAAATGCAGACAACGGCGGTGGAAGCGACGACGGCGGGCGATGGGGTCGGCAACGTGCTCTTCCTCTTTGTCCAGTGTTACAACCAACTCTTGGTCGTGCTCGACGACGACGAGGTATCTTGATACTTTGATACAATCCGATGGCGTTGGACGTGGATAGATGTACGACCGTATGTACCCGCTGCCGCTGTTTGAGGTCGAGCGCGTCGTGCTCTTCTTCAAGCCGATGCTGTTCCGCGCCTATGACGCGCCGCGACGCATCGACAGCTTTGGCGACCGCATCGTAGCCGGCGCGACGCTGCTTCTGCAGCAACTCTACAACCGCTGCGCGCGCACGCCGTTCTGCAACGTCACGAGCTGGTTTCTAAAATGGACGTGTTTCGTCCACTGTATAAAAAAGCTATCGTGGAATAGGGTCCTCTCCGACATGGACGGATCGGCGGTCCTCGAGCGCATCCTAAAGAACGAGCCACAAGCGCTCTCATTGGTCCAGCACATGCCCTACTTGCTCCTGTATGCGGACCGCGTCCGACTCTTCGAGGCCTGGGTCCGTCTCGACCGTGCACAGTAAAATCGTCTGCTTGCCCATGGATGATGTTGACAAATCGCACTAGGCACCAGGCCCCGGACATGCCGGGCTTCCGCATCAACATTCGCCGCGGGTACATCCTCGAGGACGGGCTCACGAAACTCAACGTCATCAAGCGCGATCTCAAAAAGAAGATTCAGGTACTACGATGTTTGAGAAAAATCCATACTAAGATCAATGTATCAGGTGCACTTTATCAACGCGGCGGGCAGCGAAGAAGTGGGTATTGACGCCGGCGGGCTCTTCAAGGAGTTCTGGACCGACCTGAGTGCGCTCGCGTTCGACCCCAACTATGGTCTCTTTAACGTGACGAGAGACCAGCTCTTGTACCCGAGTCCGCACTCGGAAACGGTCCACCAGAGCGACACCCTCCTCTTTGAGTTCCTCGGACGCATTCTCGGCAAGGCGCTGTACGAAGGTCTCGTCGTGCAGCCTCGCTTTGCGCGCTTCTTCCTCACCAAGCTCCTCGGGCGCCCCAACCTCTGGCACGACCTTCCGTCCCTCGACCCCGAGCTCTACAAGGTTTTGTTTTGTTTTGTACGATCCATGTTTCAATGTTTCAAGCACGACGGAGCTAGAACCTTTCGTTTCTCAAGAGCTACGAAGGCGACGTGGCTGACCTCGGGCTCTCGTTCAGCATGGACCAAGACTGCTTTGGCGTCGCCGTATGTCCGCCCTCGTCTCGATTGATACGTTGATACTTACTTGTAGAAACACGTGGAGCTCTTGCCGGGCGGCGCGACGACGGCCGTCACCAATGACAACAAGCTGCGCTACGTGCATTTGATGGCGCATTTTTACCTCAACACGCAGATCCAGCGGCAAAGCGCTGCGTTTCTGCGTGGTCTCCAGGACGTGATCGACGTCAAGTGGCTCCACCTCTTCAACGAGCCCGAGCTCCAAGTGCTCATTTCTGGCACGTCGCAAGCTCTGGACGTGGCGGTAGAGGCCCATTGGCGTATCGCGATGACGATGTTGGTGTCTAGGACCTCAAGCAAGCAGCGACGTTCGCGGGCGGATACTTTGGCCACGACAAGCGCGTGCAGTGGCTCTGGAAGGCACTCGAGAGCTTCTCGCCCGCGGACCAGGCGCGCTTCCTGCGCTTCGTCACGTCCTGCGAGCGCGCGCCGATCTTGGGCTTTGCCTCGCTGCATCCACCGTTTGTCGTGCAGCGCATTCCGATTGCAAAGGACGACGAGAAGCTGCCGTCTGCGGCCACGTGCTTCAACACGCTCAAGCTACCGACGTACTCGAGCTACAAGGTGCTCCGGGAGAAGCTCTTGCTGTCCATCAACGCCGGCGCGGGCTTTGAGATGACGTAGCCGACGTGGCTGAAGTCGATATATACTTACGTCATTAGTCGCATCACCGAGCAGTTCTTATAGAATTACCTAGTAAGCTTAGTTGGTAGTTCTTATGGTGGACGAGTTCCTAGCAGTCTAGCATTCAAGCTGTCTAGTAGGGAGGCATCAAAAGACCTTGCTTGTGGACCGACATTCCTTGTACGCGATCGTGGCGATCGTCCGTCGTGGTGTTTAAACGCGTTAAAGAGGCGGTCGAGGGTCTTGGCCTGTCTCGAACCAGGGGTACATAATAGGTACCCCTGACTCGAACTCTCTCGCACCCTCGGCGACGACCGCGCGTCCATCTACAGGACTCGACACCTCCGCGGGCTCCACGACGGCAAGACTGGCGGCAACAACCTTACATCACGTTAAAGAGCACACATCGGATTAACGCGTTGAATTAACGCAACGAGGAGGCGCTTAGACCGTGTAGGCCGGGAGCGTGTCGGCCGGGCCAAAGCGGCACTGGCCCTGCGTGTACGAGCCGACCTGGGTCGACATCTGGGCGATCGTGCAGCAGCCGCAGCAGAACGAGCAGAGAAAGTCTTCGCATTCCGAGCCCGGGATCTTGAACATGACACGGATCTTGGTGCGGACCGAGGCGATAAAGATGACGTAAATGAGCGAGACGAGCGACGCGAAGAGGCCGAAGTAGGTCAAGTGCCAGTGGCGCAAGTCGTCGAAGCCCCACTCGTTCTGGGCCGCGAGGCTCTCTTCCCACTCGGCCTGGGCGTTGACGTCGAGGTTGTTCAAGACAAACTTGGCGACGACGAGGAGGAGCGCGACGATGAGCACGCGCGTGTAGCCGCCGTAGACGCCGACGCGCGACGCGATCTGGGCGAGCGAGACGCACGGGCAGCACCAGGCCATGAGCGTGTTGGGGCAGAAGCTCTCGAGGCAGTCGAAGATGCCAGCCTTCCAGAAGACGCCCTGGTGCACGGGCTCGCCCTGGGGCACGGGCGCGTACAGCACGGGCTGGCCCGTGAGCGGAGCAGATTCGGCCTTGGACATGGTTGCAACTGGTGGAAGATTCAGGTATGACCGCTACGTTCTGACTGGCAACGGGGTGAAGAGTACGCGAAGTTGACCTGTTATAAGGGCGCACGCGGTTACTTTCTCGTCATGTCGGTCTCACGACGTTAATTTTCATTCAGCGCGAGGTGATAGGGGCGATCTCATTGGCTCGGCCGACTGCGACATGGGCGCTTAGTCAGGTTTCTTGAGCTTCGATCAGCCAAGCAGCTGCAGATGGGCCAGCTGCGACCGGCTGCAGCCACTCACTTGGGCGGTCGATATCAATTCATTGAGAGATATATCACTCCCAAGATGCGATGTGGATTCGACACTTAGACGCAGTAGCTCGGCAGCGTCTCGCGCGCGCCAAAACGACAGACGTCCGGCGTGAACGACTCGACCTCGGCGCCGAGCTGCACGAGCGTGCACCAAAAGCAGCAGATTGCAGAGCCATGGTCTTCGAGCTCGGATCCAACGAGGTCGTACAACCCGCGCACGCGCGTCCGGATGGCGCCGAGGACGATTGCGACCGAGAGAAAACTCAAGAAGGAGAGGGCTTTTAGATGGTGGGAGCGAATGGGGTCGTCGTCGCGGACCGCCTCGCTCATCATGTACGAGAGCAGCCCCGCCTCGCTCATCATGTACGAGAGCAGCCCCGCCACCAGCAAGGACCCGACACCGCACAAAACGCGGTGGTAGCCGCCACAGACGCCGACGCGGGCTGCGATCTGCGCCAGAGCGACGCACGGACAGTACCATGCCATGAGCCCTAGTATGTACGTAAACGCACGCTCATGCTCGGATGTTGGTACCGTTGGGGTAGAGATTCGTGCAGGCAAAGAGACTGGCGCGCCAGGCGTTCGGCGGTGCTAGGATTAGGATGGGAATCGCCATCGGAACGGGCTCTGCGAGGGGTGGCGCGGCTTCGGCATGCTCTCGATACATTTTCTGTGACCGTCGCCAAGGTCGTGGCTCCAACCAAGAGCTCCATCTTCCAACGACCACCACCGGAAAGAAACAAGGTGGCGCCCCAGCTTTGCGCCCAAGTACGTAGTACGTACTAGGATCGCAGAGTGGGATCCCGCAGCGGAGTACGCTGGGAAGTCTGAGTCGTCGCGCGATCCTCGCAAAGCAGCCGCCTGGTCCCCAGCCATCGGCTTCAGAGTGCGTGTACGCAAGAGTGTATGTGCTTTTAGTGGTCGAGTGGCTTGGCCCTCGGCGCGGGTAGCTGGCGTCGAGTCGGTCGACGAGGAGGCGGTCCGTTTGATCGCGCTAGCTGACGCCGAGCGTAGGCGGGCGCAGGTGGCACAGCATATCATCTTGGGCAAGCTATCGGCGGGGGAAACTAACGTGGTGCCGACGGATCGGTCAAGGTTACTCTCCCAAGATCGCCACCCGCATGCATTCCGCGCCAGGTTGGTTGAAAGAGTTAGTCGATGTTTGAAGCCGCGTCGCCCGTCGACTCTATGCACCAACGCTGTAGCTGTGGTGCAGTACGTTTTCTAGTCGAACAGACGCGGTCTAGTACATTCGAGCTCCTGTACTAGCTCTCAACCCCTTGAGCGCTGCGATGCGTACGACCAACTGCGACAGCTGTGTGAATGGCGACGCGGTATGATCACTGGTACTATGATGCACAGAAGCGTTCAATAGAACAGGGTGTTACGAAGCAGCACGCTCGGAATCAGTCGTTGTGTCGGCGCGGCGGCGGGCCTCGCGGTGGCCCCCCGCTGGGCGGCCCCCCGGGGGGCGGTCCTCGCGGCGGCGGGCCGCCCGGTGGCCCCCAGAAAGGTGGACGCATGCCACGACCGCCAAACGGCGGCGGCGGCCCGCCATAGCCCGGTTGGAAGCGCGGGCCGCCGCGGCTGCCCTTCTGCAAGAAGGCCTGAAAGTCGTTGTGCACGGACGCGAGGAGGTCCCGGGACGCGGCGCACGCAATGCGAAAGCTCTGCTCGTTGGCCGCCGAGACGAGCAGCACGAGCGGCTCGTCCGCGTCTTTCCCATTCGACTAGCACATCGCCGTGAGTATCAAAGTATCAACCCATGTCGGTACCTCGTAGCCGGAGCCACGCCCGCGCAGGCGCACCTTGGCGTTCCCACCCGCATCGGCAATGATGCGCTTCATGTACGACCCGGCGGGGCCGATGATGCGGCGGACGGGGCCAAACTCGTGGTCGGCTTCGATGCCCACAGGAATCTTCTCCAAAAGCTCACCGGTTGCCGTCGTCGTCGTCGTCGTCGTTGTCGTTGTTGATGGTGGTGCGGATGTTGTCATGGTCGGTGGTGCCGTCGTCGGCGCACCCGGCATCGTCGACGGATCGACGGGCGTGAGCAGCTCGCCGTTGGGCCCGAGGTTGGTCGCGCCGCAGCGCTCGGCAAAGACGTTGGCGAGGGCTTGCGTGGCGGCGAGTGTGAGCGGCCCGATGCGAATCCCGCGCTCGAGGCCCGGAAGGCTCTTGAGGTGGTCGTTGAGGACCGGCGGTGCGTTCAACACAATCTGAAATCGGACTTGGATCGGGAACGGTGACGGAACATTCGGGCTGTGCGCAAAGGCGTTCGGCACCATGTTGGGCACGATCGGCGTCACGGCTTCAAACATACCGAGCACATGGCGGTCCGACATGTTGAGCAGAAAGAGCGGTGCCCCGGGGCGCACGTTCTTGGCCGCCACTTGCTCCTATGCTGAGGAATCAGTACATCGGATCGACCTGAGATCTTGTCGTACGTGGTCTTTGGCCAGCCCAAAGAGCATGCGCCCAAACACTTCGTCGATCGTGGTACCGTTGCACGCAAAGACAAACCCCGGGAGGTTGACCTGCCACCGGTGCGCGGGCGGCGCCAGCGGAATTGACGGGTCCACAAAGCCCGCGACGGACTCGGCCGCCATGCGGCGGCGCGTCGCGAGCTCGAGGGCGCCGCCCGGCAGCTTCATCTCGTCCTCGACCGATTTCAGGTGCAGCCGGATCATCGGGTGGAAGAAGAGCTTGTGCATGAGCCCATGGCCGCACTCCTTGACGAGCGTCGCGCCGTTGAGTCTACACCAGAGATGACAATATTGTACACGCTAGAGACGATATAGCCATTTTACGTCTTGGAGAGCGGCGTGTCGGTCGTCGTCGGGATCGTGTCGGCGGTCTCGTACGGGATCTCGGCCGTCCGGAGCCACTGCACGCCGATCGCATGGCGCCACTCGCTGTGTGGCAGCGTACTTGCATCCAGCGGCGTCATCGACGCCTCGTCGGCCGGCGCAGGCGGCAGCTGCGTGACGCGGGCGACGCACTGGATGTGCAGACTCGGGCTCACGGTCAGAAATACAAACACCTACACCGGTCCATGACCCTCCATGCGTCGAGATCGCGTTTTCTCTACGTGATC